ATCCTAAGACATTTTTCCTCTCCCCCCCCTTCGGACATCCCAAGACATTTTTCCTCCCTCCCCCTTCGGACATCCCAAGACATTTTTCCTCCCTCCCCCTTCGGACAGCCAAAATTTTTCCTCCGTGGGAGGGGTATGGATCTTTTCTGGAACGACCCAATATTACTAATTTTGTGATGCTCGTTCAAGTTGTGATGAAATTTTTTGTTTAGTTCAAAATTTAGTCTGTAATTCAAATGATCCATTGAGTGCAATCAGTCATTCCAGAAAACATCCATACTCCCCTCACGGAGGAAATTTCTGCTGTCCGGAGGAGGAGGGAAGAAACAATTGTTTCTGATAAAATGAAACTAGTTTTTCGTATATCTCTGAGGATGGTTCTGAAATAGTGAATGTATTAGGACATCCGAAAGGGGGTTAACTTCCTATTTCCTCTGTGGGGGTCGTATGGATGTTTTCTGGAATGACCCAATGTATTAAATAATTTCTAGGCCGGCAAGCGATATAAAATCTGTCTCGTTTAGCGGGCCAGTCTGGCTTCCATATAAACAGCCCCATAGACCAGTGTGCATTCCATGCACTCCACACCAGATATATCCAGCATGAGGTTACAAAATTGTTGGCGTAATGGTGTGAGATCACTAAAAAACAAATGAATAGTTTGTGCCTGATTTCATGAATCACCACATTAGATGTTTTCAAAACATGGATTTAAGCCCCCAAAACTGAAAATCTCCGATGTATTGGCGTAAAGGATCGTATATGTTGGCGTATATGTTGGCGTATGTCCGGCGTAGAGTTTACATGGAATGCACTCTGGCCAGTAGTGTTGGGGATTGCCTCCAAGTATCGCCCGAAATAAATCACAAGAAATCACAGTATAATATCTATTACAAAATCATCAATTTCACAGTTTTACAGCCACATGTTTTTAAGTTCTCTTCTCAAAAAAACAACCACCACCGGTATAATCCGGAACTTTCCGAAGTGTTTAAAGTTTGGACTTGCGCGTCCCACGCGTGAACTAATTCTAAATTACGACAGTTTCCGACAGTAGAAATTTTTCTTATGCACATATCAACAGCCTGCCCTGGGGGTACACCCCCGGGACTTTGAAAAAACATGATTCTAATGCATTAATTCCCCTTCCCTCCGCCGGGAAATGTGTAAGTCAAACTGCCTGCCCTCCCCCTGGGGCTTAGAATAAAGTTGTTCATAATATAAATAGCATACAAACAACTAAAAATTATCATACAAACTGGGGTATCACAATGGCACTCATGTTTTCTGTATTTATTTATTCAAATTTTAGCAAGACCACTACAAAATATCATAAATAATAAGTTTGTGATCGGTACTTTTCTCTGTGAGCCTGCAATTTTGAGTTCGCACCAATTGTGCAGTTCATTTATAAAATTCAAATTGTCACGTCAAAGTCCCCTACTTCCCCTCCCCCCGTCGTCCTATTATTGCGAAGTTTGTAATCTCCCCCTCGTTTCCCCCCGGTTGTCCTGGGGGTGTACCCCCCGGGCAGGCCGTTGATTAGCCTGCGAACAGGCTCTCAAGCTGAATTGAGAGCCTGCATCGATGACTAATGAATTTGAATATCTGCCCCGTAACATTCGTTTTTCCAAATATGTAATGTATATCCTTATATGGTGTTGTTGACAACTTTGGTGCAAACTAAATTTAGACCGTGCAAACTAAATTTAGATCGTACAGTTTATACTGTTTTTCGAAATATAAGATATTGAAGCAAAAGTTCAAATGTTTTAAATACTGTTTTCTCAAAACAGAACATTTCGTGCTTTGAGATAAGATGGTCAAGACCAATTTGATCAGTTATAATGTGTTTTTTATGCATAGTGCTTCAGCAGTTGACATATATAGAGCTCAGCGGAAACATAAATTATAGCATCTGACCAATGAGAATTTCGCGTCACGATTTGAGACGCAGATATTCAAATTCATTAGTCATCGATGCAGGCTCTCAATTCAGCTTGAGAGCCTGTTTGCAGGCTAGCTGTTGATATGTGCATTAAAATATTTTAAAATTCCCCACCAACCTTTTTAACTCTCAAATAGTTCATTACACATTTATTGGTTAGGGTTAGAGAAGGGGTTGGGCTCTGTTTATCCATACCTTATCTTATTCCGACTACAGTACAAATTTCAATATAGCAAATCAAACTCGGCGTACTGTTCCAGTACTTCGTATTAATATACAACTAAGGCCACTATTTGTTGCATATTAGTTTCTCATCCGGGGCTTCACCTAAAGTTGATGCGGGCGGGCGGGCCATTACCATTATGCCATTATTTATAGCATTGCAAAACAGCACAAAATTAGTGAATGCAACTGAAACCATGTTTTTATATTAAAAACATGACCACTCCACATGACCACATGTGAAATAATCACAGAAAAGAGAAATAATTTTGTAGCCAAGTCGTCTCGCGTTTTTTTCCCTGCCCCTGGCTTCCTGTAGAACGTTTACGTAAACGCGAGAGAAACTGGCAGTTTTGGTATAAAATTTCGTATCTTAACTGAAACTTTTGGTTTGGGAACGTTTCTAATTGTCTTTCTTTCAAATATCATTTTGAAGACATCACAAAATTTATAATAATGGTCAAAAATGGCAATAATGGTAATAAAGGCGAACAAGACCATTTTCTTAAAAAGCATGCGGGCGGGGATGAGAAACTAATATACAACAAATAGTGGCCTAAATGAACTAATTATTAAAAAGTAAACTGACCTTTAAACTGAAGAACTTGATTGGCTTGTTTCTTTGTCACATAGTTCAATTGCTGTTGCTTGTACATGTTTTAATATAAACCAGTACAGCGAAGTAGCGAACTTTCGGGCCGTCTTTCACAACAAATAACATCACAATAACTGCACATCTTTTTCTCTTTAATACAGAATCGTTTCCCCTGTCCATTGAGTTATAATTTTCAAGACTAACGAGTCGCTAAAACGTAAAATAAGCGGGTATTTGTGAACAAAAATGCCCTTTGATATAACGCGAGGTAACCAGCGCCATCTTGTCTTCTCCAAACATTACAGATTTTCCCGCCAAAACCCGCCCCCAAAGTCCCGTATGCAATCATATATCTATGTATGCAACCAGTGAACTCAATACGGAGCCACAGAATAGGAAGTTATACCAGAAGCGTAACTCGAGCAAATATGTGTCCACGTTTTTACAAGCGATTCGTCATCAATCACGCCATCCTGGCTAGTACAACCGGCACTTTGTACCTACCAAATCCTGATAAAAACTTCCGGCTGTACTAGCCAGGATGGCGTGGCCTGACGTGAGCGAGTTAAAAATTTTCGTGGACGTCAAACAATAAGGGAAACGACTAGAGTTACGCTTCTGGTATAACTTCCTATTCTGTGACGGAGCTTTAGATTTGACTACGAGTACGACTACGAGTACGAGATTTGATCGCGTGCTAGGAAATTACCGTAGTCGTTTTCGTTTTCACTCAAATGTTGTTTTTATAGCAGTAAACCAACAACGAGAGAAAAAGTTTCATAAACTAAATCTCCTGCAGACTAAAATCCCCTACAAAACGTGAAAATAAGTCATAACATTAAAAACAGGCCAGATATTTAGTATTAATATATTATTTGCGCCGGATAAACGCTATATAAATGCTAGAAATTATTTTGGGAAAACAAAAAAAAGTCAACTTTCTTTGTATTTTTGAAAAGTCGTCGTGAGGACTACGAGATTTATCCGCAAGTTCGTTCTCAGATGGGCGACGGCTACGACACAGAATAGGAAGTTATACCAGAAGCGTAACTCTAGTCGTTTCCCTTATTGTTTGACGTCCACGAAAATTTTAACTCGCTCACGTCAGGCCACGCCATCCTGGCTAGTACAGCCGGAAGTTTTTATCAGGATTTGGTAGGTACAAAGTGCCGGTTGTACTAGCCAGGATGGCGTGATTGATGACGAATCGCTTGTAAAAACGCGGACAAATATTTGCTCGAGTTACGCTTCTGGTATAACTTCCTATTCTGTGGCTACGACTTTTTCGCGTCAGTACGGGATGGCGTAAGCATACAGCATGCGTTTTCGCTTGACGAATCTCGTACTCGTAGTCGTACTCGTAGTCAAATCTAAAGCTCCCTAATAATAACTGGAAGGCTAACTCCACTGAGCTATACTATATTACTAGATTTTCTATACTATACTATATTTTCAAATGCTTTTTTTCGACCTTAAAACGTTAAATCTTTATACTTATACTTTATTTAGAAATGGTAAATACATTGCAGCCATGAGCTGAATTGCGTATTATACTTACAATTAAAAATTATTAAAAATTAGAGTTTTGAAATATATCAAAGTATTATAATTAATTAACTAAATTGTCAAAAAGTCTGTTTATAATAAGCATGCAAAAGTTATTAAGAATATAAAATAGGTAAAGAGTAAAACCTATTCAGTTTTGCTACTCGATGCCATAATAAAACTATTACTAAACCGATTGGTTTTACAAACTGGAACGTCAAAAGATCTAATAGATCTCAGGTCGTGGATGGAGTTATGCCTTGGCGGCAAGAGGTAATGTAGACTGTGATTAGAATCTTTGATAATTGCATTAAACAATTTCTTGCAGCTGTTTTGATGGTGAGTGGAAAGATGTTCAATTCCACTGAGATTTAAAGCTTCCTCATATTTCAAATGGGGATAAATAATTCCAAATACGCGTTTCTGGACTCGTTCCAAATCTTGACTTAAATACTTGGGTAGGCTGTAGTGGAAAACCGGGACAGGATAGTCCAACACAGATCTTATACAGGTTATGTAAAATGTGATTAGTTCTTGTATTGGGATTTTTGCTCTCTTAAGTTGAATAAGGAAATATATCCTTTTGGAGGCTTTCTTGACTAATTCAGTGATATGTTTATTCCACGTAAGGTTGTTGCTAATGTTAAGACCTAGCACTTTAAAATCGGATACAACTTCTATGATTTGATTCTCAATTGAAATTGGGTTAAGCTCGGGGAAATCTTCTTGAAACTTCGCATACAGATGTATTTTGCATGGGTATAAAAAATTCCTGAGGTATGACGTCTTAGTTTTATCTTAAACTTCCAAAAACTCAGAAAAAGAAGCCTAAAACGCGCGGTTTTTCAGACCGTTCATGCTTATGGTCGTGTTTTCGCATTTTTTTGCTAATTCGTGATTTGTTTGCTTTGCGAATATTAAATTCATTTATCATACTACTGATATAAATTAAATTTGGTAGTATAACTAATATTTTGGGGCAAGATTTTTCTGATCAAAAAATGTGCATATTTTGAAAAAAAAATTTAAAAAGGACTGGGTCTACCTACAAAACAAGACGCCTGCTCAGGCGTTCACACTGGCCTGAAAATAACGAGATACGTGCTATGGTGCAAAAGGCAGGAATACAAATCTTAAACCGCAAGCAAATTTTATGGACTTTTTAAAAAAATAAAAGACCTTTTCGGGAGACGTAATGGAGATCGATGCACGTGCAAATCATGCCGACCTACAGAATCGATTTCCGGTTTTTCCTAACAGCACGTTGTTTTCATGTGCGTTCCATGGGCCGCGCTAAAAATATAAATATTCTGTAAATACCGAAATAAAAGATGAAAATCTCAAGACACAAGCTTGAAAATAACACTATAAATAGTGTTTTCGATTCTGGTTCCAATAACATTATCACGAAAAACATGATATGTCCAAAGGGGCCGAAGTTATGTTCGGCAAAATGTATGGCTAGTTTACATTGTTAGTTGTATTATGAAATATGATACCATACTTGTATTAAAATTCGCGTCGAACTAATGTTATTGTAAATTAGTAGACTTGCCACAAGTCGACCTCGAACGAAATGCGTTTCTTCGAGGTCGACTTGTGGCAAGTCTAGCAAATGAGAACCATACAAATGATACAATAATAGTTCTAGTTCTTGTTGGTATTTTGAACGCACGCTTTATCTTTAGTATAGCTACCACATATATCTTTAGTATAGCTACCATTATATTGCGTGGAGTACTAAATATTATATTTTGTGGTTTTCGAGTCATTACACAAAGAAAGACACATTAATTCAACACGCAAGAAAGTCCAGAGTACGACACAACGTAAAATACATAGGAAACCGGCACAATTCTTTGAAAATTCAACGAAACTGTGTACTGATATAGTTTGATCACTCTGTGAAAACCGCCATTGCAGTTCGGAATTGTGCGCGTGCGTATACAAGTGTATAGGCTAATAAACGAAAAATGTACCACAAGCATGGCATGAGTCGGCTATTACGTACATATATACGAGCTTATTACTATGCTATATAAATCATGGAACCGAGGGAATCGATGGCATTTTGGCTAATCGTTGCACCCTGAGACTGCGATGAGCTAACGCAAACTCGATTTCTCGACTACGAAAAAAAACAGAAAAAGGGGGATTTAAGACACTTGGCCTTACAGGCCAGTGTAAAAAGCTTCAAGCACGGCTTCAACTCCCCCCCCCCTGACTTAGCCTTCCAGTTATTATTAGAGTTCACTGTATGCAACTCGAGTGGTGTTATTAAAGCTGAAAATCACAGCAAACATTGCATCCTTTAGCACACCTTTGAGGGCCCCTCATTATTTATTGTACAGGGGGGGGATTGAGGAGAAACTGGGGGGGGGGCTTTAAATTTTTTAAAACCTGAAAGGGGGGCATTTGAAAAAATACAGACAGATGAAAGAAGGGGGGCTTCGAAAATATTTACCAGTTTGAAAAAAAACATTAGTAGTTTTAAAAATGTATCACAAAACAACTTAACAAATAACAATGTTTATAGACCTTCAATATTCATATAAATGGAAGCCAAATAAAAAGTCTCTTATGTTCATGTAAATAGACAATCCCCATTATAGACTAATTTTAGAACTAGGCAAAGAGATGAACATCAAGGCCGGATTTTGGTGAAAATAGTGGGGGAGGTGGAAAAAATTTTTAGGGGAGGTGCAGCGGTCTAGCTGACAACTCCCGTGGAAAGTTAGGGCTTATTGTAGAACAGGCCAATATCAACGAGGTGAGGTATGCCTGTAGTGTACATATATACCAGTGTATTAATGAATTATTAATGTATATGACTCCAATCTTGCCCTTCATTACAATTGCTACAAAGTTTCTTTCAAAACATTGCATTAAAAGGGAACTTGACACAGAGATGAATGGCTATCACTGTGTCAATTTTACAGAGAAAACTTTCTTGCGTCACGAAGTGTAGATTCTAAGCAACCATCACATTTTCACTTTGTTCCATCATTGAAACTTTCCCAAGGGGAGGTGCATGACCTTTCAGGAGAGGTGGAAAAATTCTCAGGGAAGGTGCAAAACGATCTCAAGGGAGGTGCGCACCTCTCCACACCTCCCCTCAAAATCCGGCCTTGATGCAAATAAATCACCACAGCTAGAAAGAGCATACTAAAATAAGTAAATTATTGCAAAGTTTGATTGCAAAATGTTGTAAAATACAGAAAATATAGCCTTACAAAGTTTGCAAATTTTGTATACTTTTGTATTGCATGCGAAAATTGTAATACAAAAGTATACAAAATTTGCAAACTTTGGAAGGCTATATTTTCTACATATTTTACAACATTTTGCAACCAAACTTTGCAATTTTACTAATTTTAGTATGCCCTTCCCGGGAATACACTTTTTTTGCTAAGATAAAAAATTAGTCTATAATGGGAATTGTCTATTGGTCCCCATTATCTATTTTTGTTTCCCTAAATAAAGAGCTAGAGTTTTAGTTTCTCTAAATAAAGATAAAGAGCTAGAGGGGGACCAAAATTTATGTTCTTGTTTTGCCTGTTGGGGGGGGGGGGGCTTTGAAAATTTTACTTGTCTTAAGAGGGAGGCAACAAAAAAATATTATAACTGTAGAGTTTTTCCTCATTCTCCCCCTGTACAATAAATAATGAGCAGTCCCTAAGTTTACTTGAATAACCGGTGAATTATTCATATTTTGACACTTATATACTATACAACAAAACACTTATTTACTGAGACCTCGTGAAAGCAGTGTGTTTTGTGGTCCCTCAAACGCAGTTGTTGCCCTCGGCTTCGCCTCGGGCAACAACGGCGGTCTCGGGTCCACAAAACACACTGTTTCCCTCGGTCTCAGTAAATAAGTGATAATTATATCCTGCTTCGTTCCAAACGGGGAGGTAATTTTGATCTAAAGTTTGTGGTATCAGGTTTAATATCAGTATGTTTTCACTCGCTACTCTGGTTTTAAGCAAATGAATGCAAAGCCCAATCTAGCTGACAGGTAATAAGTATCTTAAGGCAGAGGTGGAAGATGCGGTTGTGGCGCGTCACTCTTGAGTTAAGCCTACTACTGAAGGTGGAGGGTTGCCAGCAACCTGTATATCAGCTGGTTTTGACATGATTTTAATTATAGAAACACAATATAATTACATAATAATTTTCTAAAGAACAAGTAACAAACACTGATCAATCATTAAGCAAGCCAATAACGAAAAGGTTCAATTTAGGTCGGTATTTACCCACGATGGAGGGTAGGGTATTGTTATTCGACTATCTGACTATCATACACATTTTTCCAGGTACTCCGCTTTCCTCTCACAAAACCCAACCATACCTGTGCTCGTACATATAAGTGGCAGCCAGAGTCGCTCTAGCACGTTTTGACTCGTTCATGTTTAAACTGTGTCCTTTGCAATTCAGCTTTTAACTGCAAGGAAAGATGATTTCTGTACCATTTCTTCTAACAACGTTTTTGTAACAATTTTTTTATATATTCTGAAAGGGGCTTGATGGGGACCCAGGGACACAAGGTGCACCTGGCGAAGCTGGAAGAACGGTATGTTGATTCACCTGTGTCTAAAACTCAAGATTTGCTTTTCATTTCTAAAAATCAGTTTGTTGTTTTGAATCAGTTCTTGGTTGAATAACAGAGAGGCGAGGGCGCCAGATCATTATTTAATACTGTTAAAAGGTGGTTTATTAAGACCTTTATATTTTTCTCCAAGTGCCTCCACAGTGTAGGAAATACTGTTTCGTGGACCCAAAATACAATTTTCTCCCTGGGGAGCATGCTCCGGACCGCCCCTAGAATTGCGACTTGCAAATTATTTAGTCCCTCTCAAAATAAAATTCTGGCGGTGCCACTGAATAGAGGGTTCGATTCTTGCGGAAGTCGTACTGCTAAGAAGATGCAATCAAATTACAAGATTGGTTTCAAAATGAACACAATAAACTATGTATTCAATGTAATAATTATCATAATATCTTCCTTGCCTTATTCATTCTGTTGACGTTTGATCATCTGTGTAGGGATATGATGGTGAGGTTGGTGAGCAAGGTTTAAAAGCAAAGTCAGGAAAAAAGGTAAGATTTCCCATTTTTCCCAAAGTTTAATAACGACATAATAAGTACTATTATACTTTCATATTCTGTCCTTGTATATTACCTGGTTAATAGACAATTCCATTTTAATTTATGCGCGCAGGGGGTGAAGGGAAGTAAGGTATCATATTGCTGATTATGCTGAAAAATTTCAATAAAAACTGCCGAAACAACCGAAATATTTTAATATTTACAAGCATAAGTTATCAACCCGTGTTTACACGGCCGCCATTTTTATTTTTTCAGCATAATCAGCAATATGATACCTTACTTCCCATCTCCTCCTCCACGCATAAACTAAAGACTGGAATTGCCTATTCTTGCCTGCATTTCAAGCCGTAAAAAGTGATACTCTAAATTGACTCAGTGGAATTTTTATTAACCATAAATACAATCTTTCATACAATCAATAATACAGAACAAGTTTTATTTACACTCACTTGTTGCAGGGTGCAAAGGGCCTCCCCAGAGGAGCTGGATCTAAAGGAAGACCGGTGAGTTGTCAAAACAAAATTAACGTATAAAGGGTATTTTCTATATATTCACAGCATCTTTTCTAAAGGACAAAATCAATTGGCTATATATCCAGAATATCAAACTTCGTCTCGTTCACTCAGTATCGTTGTTTTAGCGACAAGTCACTGCATGTTGTAACAAGCACTATTGTACCGATTAAAGGAATTTACTGACACTTCAATTTAATTACAGTTATTGATAATTTTACCAATTTTTATTACGAACTATATTCGATTATTATTACACTGTAGGTATCAAGGTATGTATTCCGACTTACGCCTGTATTCTAAAAGCTCACTCACACTCACACTCAATGAGTGGAGTTTAAATCTGAGCTTCTCTTGAGTGTCAATGCTGTTTTGGAATAGCTGGATGGTGAGTAGTCACATAGTAAGGTACGACACTAACCATCCATCCATCCAGCTATTCAAAAACAGCAATGACACTCTAGCTAGAGAAGCTCTGATTGAACTTCCACTCATTGAGTGTGAGTGTAAGTGAGCTTTTAGAATACGGGCGTTAGAGTTAATTTTAGGATTCGCAGAGAAATTGTGAGCGTGACTTGTACGTTTATATAATATATATGTTCCAGGGTAGAAGGGGCGGAAGAGGACATCCTGGGGCAATGGGAGCCAAAGGCGATCAAGGTTTGAAGGGATATCGAGGACATCAAGGAAGAACTGGACTAGAGGTAAAAAGATAACATTACAAACAGCACAACATTTAAGCCTACTAGCCTAGTATTCATAGCTTCCTAGTTTTGTCAGCATAAAGGATAAAATAAAAATAATAATTCCAAAATCAAATCAAATTCCAACTTCATTGGTCATAGAGTAAGTTATCCGCCACAATCTTTGGCTTCGGCGGATCTCATTGCTTCAGTGTAGATAATATTGAAATTACAATCATCCAAAAATGTTAATTGTTTTATATATAGGGACGCCAAGGTAATCCAGGCCTGCTGGGAGATATGGGACCCATGGGGTTTGTGGGGTACCCAGGATGGTGGGGAAGAAAGGGGGATATAGGAGGTGCTGGAGAAAAGGGGGATATGGGAGTACGTGGTAGCGATGGTGAAGGAGGTTTAGATGGTAGACAAGGAGAACCTGGAATGATGGGACCTAAAGGCGAACAGGTAAAACATACATAAATATATTCTGTATTTCCGTTCCCGCTCGCTACTCTGGTTTGTTAAATTAGACTTACACTGTAAATTAATAAAAGCATTCCCCGGGAAGACTCGAAAGTCATTACCACAAACGTTGGTTATATGACTAGAGGTATTGTGAAACATGAACTATCATAGAGATAACCGGGTGTAAGCCATGTTCCGCAACAGTAGTCTACCTCCAACTTGTCGGTCGGTGAGACGATCTCCGGAGTACAGTATATAAGGAGCTAGGTCTTAACTTTTGATCATCCCTGATGGATACACCACATCGAATTGTCATAATGTGTGGTCGCGAATGAATATTTCAATGTAATTCGACTAGAGCTTGCACTCATTTATTCGACTTTGCAGAGAAGCGAGGGAAAACATTTCTACGTTTGCTCTGAAACGAAACATATATTTTATTACGATCAGGGAATGATCGAACATGATTAAAGTCGCACTAACCTCAAAAATTATTTTGGTATGAGTATAACATTGGGTATTCTAAGAAGAAATATATACTTAAATAACTCATCTTGCTTAACTGTTTCACTTTCAAAGTTGCTGAATATGTTGTAGTTAGATGAATTTCAGCAGCATAAAACATACAATTGCATTTGCAGTTCATTTAATGACATCATATCTGGCACTTCTATACGGTGAAAAATTCAATTAAAATTAGGTTTTTCCCTACACACATAATGATGCTTTATGGGGGGCTTGTGCAATCTATAACAAGTTGTGGATATACCTACTTGACTATACATCCTTATAAATTTATATGATCCTCCTTTTCTTCCAGTTTTCACATAAAACGTGGTCCTCCATTCAAATATTGACCCGCTCCCTAACCACCGTGGAAGGAGAAATTTCCGAATTTCACTTTTGTTATCATTTTTTTTATTTTTTTTAATTTTCATTCTGTTCTTTTCATGTTTCATGTTTGTATGATTTAGGGTGATGCAGGTCCTGCAGCCGTGGGCGCGCCATCTCATGCTGTTGGAGAACCGGTATAGTAAATAAACGCATGTATAATCAAAATTATACAAGTGATTGTATTACTTAAAGTGCTAAAACATTTTAAATAAAATATTTTCAAACTTAAGGAGTGGACCATTGGATATTATCCTGAGAGAGGGGAGGAGAATTTTTCCTTCGAAGAATTTTTAAGTTTAGATCTTAGTTTTTATGGTGTAGAATCTGTGCAGTAACATCCTTTTACATATTTCTGAATATTCAATGAAGTTGCAAGAATTTGTTTAAATTCTTTCCCTAAATGCTTGCGTGACTTTTTTCAAACCCACTCTTATTTGCATGAACTTTTTTGGGATCTGCCACCCGCCTCCCACTGGCCCCTAAGAAGACCCAATAATTTAACACATATTGATAGCTAACTGTGAATCAATTGGATGTCAATCGGTATATAAACAGATACTAACTACTAATGTCTCTTGATTTTAATTGAATGTATTTTTTAATAATACAATTTGACAAGCTAATTTTAGCACAAGTATTTTGATAATATAAATTTGGTAATAATTATACGTTACTGTGATCAAGCGTATCAGTTTCATCTTTATATAATATTTGTTCTTTACCTATAATAGTAACTTGAATATTTTTGTCCTCCATGTAGGGTATCACAGGAGTTCCGGGTATTCCTGGAGAACCAGGAGAGAAGGTGCAGTACTTTAATCTTTATATTCCTTATATTTCTTGCTCGTTGCTTTCTTTGTGTAGCAATTAAAAGATAGTCAACATGGCAGTAAATTTTGATCAGGGCAAGCGCCTAACGTGCATTTTCACCTGTCCACATAGTAAGATACAGATGAGGATCATTTCTTACTCTTTGATCTCGCACTGCTTTCCCCGGGTTTGCTTGGGAAAATAAGTTCATGATTGATAATTTTAGTAAGATATTTTGCTTAGGGTTATTGGAATAGACCTTTCCTGTAATTACGTCATGACTAACACTGTTTTCAACTTAAGTTTGTTTCTCACGGGCTATGGTCGAAGGAACAGAATATCCTTCTTCAACACATGCACAAAATAAGAATTTTGGATTTTGACCAATAAATGTGGAAATAAGCTTAAACACGAAAACGAGGCTGAGGGGCCAAGAGGGGCTATCCTCAGCCTCGTTTTCGTGTTTAAATTAACTTACTTCCACATTTAATAGTCAAAATCCAAAATTCTTATTATTACGCTTTCTAGGGAGATATAGGTGTCCCTGGACTTCCTGGAGAAGAAGGTGACAAAGGACCAATGGTAAGGATTATTAGTGAAATTATGACACAGTAGATGCAGCAAATGTCAAGATGGTTCGAGAACGTTAGCATTATTATAAAATTCAACTGATGACACGCCTCTTGAACATCGTAATATAACTGAATTTATCGTTTTGGGGCCGATAGTTCAAAGATCAATTGGTGCTAATCTTTGCCTTTGGTTAATCCACTATTCTGGTTTGTGCATGTTTTCTTTTTTAAAACTTTAGAAACAAAAAGTTACTATGTAAGGAGAAATTTCTCTTATATACCGTATATGCACCTTTCAATTATTGATTAATGAGACTTTGACATAAAAAAGTCTCTATATATATATTTTCGAATCATTATGCAAATAATGTGTTTATTTGCATTAGGGCGAAACTGGACCTAATGGTGAAAATGGAAATGCGGGTTCCGATGGAAAGACGGTAAGTAAATGGGGAAAGTGTTAGCTTTAGGGTTACTTCAATTGAGACAGAGCTAAGATTAGAGGCAAAGTTAGACCTACAGTAAGCCACTCTAAATTTCCCAGTGTTGCTATCTCACCAAAATGGTGCAATCATTGCAGCTCTGTAGACAACTATTTAGTACAGTGTAATATAATTTTTGGGAAACACCAAATTTACACCCAATATATAAAGTGTATTGAAGCACATATAACACTTATTGGCTGTAAATATCAAGATTGATGAGATATTTGGTGTTTCCCGTTTACACTAAACCAGTGTCTATAAGACTATAGAGTTGCAATGATTACACAATTTTGGTGTTGTAGCAACATCCAGAAATATAGGGGCAAGTCTCTATAGCAAAGGTGACCTACTTCCGGAAGAGTGTATTATCGTAATCAAATATTTACTTTTAAAACTAAATGTTGTCTTCCTGTTGTATTTATTAATAGGGAGATCCAGGTGATCAGGGTTCAGGAGGGAATGTTGGCGTTTTGGGAGCTAAGGTATACTTCAGGGGTATAGCGCATGCATGTACTTTAGTTTGAACGCTTATTCAATTGACTGGAATTCAGACTCTCATCTCTGAAACTACAATAGGGTACTACTGGTGATGCTGGTATTCAAGGTATTCAAGGAGCAGCTGGACCTCAGGTACAAATTTGGTAGTTCTGTTGACTAACATTATTATCGACTATAATCAGTGCCCTTTGCAGCTAGGCCAAAGTCTCTTTGCATAACAATTATTGTACGGAGAACAGCCAGAGCAGGCAAAAAGTATACTCTTGTTTTGCTCCTTTAGTGCTTCCTTTACGATCTTGCTATTTTGTATTACATCAACTCAGTTGTCTGATTAACCTTGTATACAGTAGACTTGCTCCAAATCGACATCCAAACAATTGACTTCCGCAAATTTATTACTCAAAAATTCCTTCATTACGAGGACCTAAACTCCCTTTCATTCCCTTTCATTTGTTTGCTGTTGTATTTGTTCATGAGTTTTTATTTCGTATATACTGGTATAAACTTGTATAAACCCAGTATGTGACCCTTGATTTTAGGGTGATAATGGCGGTAGAGGTATTCCTGGTGAGGATGGAGAAGATGGCGATGAGGTTATTGTTTTCTAATTATGATAATTCTTTTAATTATTACCATTTTAAATTAGTATGGTTTTAACCCTGCACAGGGGAAGATGACCTGTTTTTACGGCAGAAATGAGATGTAGGAAGTTTCTATTAGAAACGATTGAAATTACTCAGAGAGGATAAACAGTTGAGATTGGATTAAAACTATAGAAAATTGTTCAATTAAATGAAAAACGTTAGCCATGCCGATGTACTATATACATTTGTGTTTATTGTGCAGGGAGATGAGGGACTGCAAGGAGCAGTTGGGGCAAATGGGCCAGATGTAAGTAGAATGTACATTATCAATTCATTATATGTATGTTGATTGTATCATCAAGATTTAGTACAAGTCTAACTAACAAAAAAACAATCGCCAAAGATTAATGCGTATTAAATCAGTGAGTGGTTTAATATAAAGTGGCAGTGGTGATGAATCATTGAACGTTGTTTCGAGCGCTGTTAAAAAAAAAGTATAAAAGAACAAAGAAAGTGTGGTTAAGTTAGACATAGTACGGGCAAAGTTCCCTTATGAAATATTGATGATTGATACATCTTGTAGGGCGATGTTGGTGCGCCTGGGGGAGTTGGGGAGAATGGTGTCAGAGGAATGACTGTAAGTATAACTTAACCAAATGTTAATCTTGACTAGATTAAAATGATCGTGAGAAAAAATGCTGAACATCAACTTCGATGAATTCTACATTGCATTCCTTTTAGGGAAGTGTTGGTGATACAGGAGAGCGGGGAGTAGCTGGTGCTGAGGTTTGCATGAATATTCCTTTTATATGATATTTCCGACAGAGACACACATTCCCAACACGTTTGGAGGGAGGGGTGTTGCCCCTTGTCCAGGGACCAACTTTTGATATTTGTTTAGCCAGTTTTCCGACGTTGGCAACGAACTTATGAATTTCAGTGCGAACTTTCGTGCGAAATTCTGAACTTTGGGTCGATTTTCGGATTTTGTGAAGTTTGAAATTCAACTCAGGTTTACTTCGACGAAAGCCATTTGCTTTTTTCGGTTATTTTACTTCATTCTAATTTACATTAAGGGAAAACCTTATCAAATTTTCCTGCAACAAAGACGCTTGGTTGAAGTTCGGACTATTTGAATTTTGAGATTCACGAATTCCAAAATTCGCTTCAAACTTTGGATGAACGCGAGTAAATTCGCAACGCCAATTTTGGAACAACGATTTACGAACCAATTTCGGAAAGCCTTTTGCGTGAAAACATGCATGCACGCAAGCTTGCATATAGAGTTGTTCTAACAAACCGATATCATGTTGTGTTCACAACATTGCTTCAGTTATACATTTATTTAGCTTTAACCAGGAGCAGCTGCGAAAAATGCAACTATAGGCCCTCTGGCATGCAGCCTTAGAGCTCAACAATTGGACTTTGAGTCTCTGTAGTTCAAAACCAGGTTTAATATCTAATCAAACATGTTTTCGCTCGCTGCTAAAGTGAATGCATTGATGCCTTGTAGGGTGAAGCTGGATTAACTGGATCAAGAGGTCTTTACGGTGCAAAAGGCAAACAGGTACGTATATAAATTAATAAATTTATTCCCTTCGTTTAGTCGTTACTTGCGGTCTTTTCGCATAAAGGCAGAGCGTGTTACAATACTAAACTTTCCAAACCTAAAAGATAGATTATCAAATTCAATTTTTTCAAACACAAAAATGTTCAGCTGTAAAAACTATTGCTCGCTTGGAAAAACAAGGCATGTGTTATAGCTGCGTTCTATCAAACACATTTTGCTGATATTTACTGTCTCTCGACGGTCTGTGCCAATGTAGAAAGAGACGATAACAGGATAACTGTGGATTGCAAGAGATACAACTATCTGAAAAAGCAGACCCTTCGTGCCTATAGATCAAATGAAAGTACACTATAGGTGTCTATAGTGGTGTACAGTAAAGCAAGTGACTATAGATTAAACGAAAGTACAATATTTTTGTTTTGCCTTGCGTATAGGGTAGAGAGGGTGAACAGGGGATTGGAGGTGCACCAGGTGATCAAGGTCCAAAGGTATTTTGAATTTCTATGCGTGTAAACGTTTTCTAACTCATTTCAATTTGCAATTTAACTATGTCTACTTTTCATATACAATATATATATTCTCAATTCTCAAATACTGTCCAGTTAATTGTCAAATTTAAATCTTGCACAACAATAAATAACATTATTATTTGGCAAGCATCACTTCCGGTGAAATGGCGGACTGTGATTGGCTGAGAAGCGCTTTCAGCGGTCCATTATTTTCCCATGGCGGTCCATTACGTAAAGCCGGTTACAGACGAGCACGTTTTCTATGACAAGTTTTTATGTGACAAGTTTTATTTGCTCGTCTGTATGCGCAACTTTGACAATTTTTTCTATGACAAGTGTACTTATTCAAAATCTAGCATGCTAGCTTTTGAACAAGTGCATTTGTCATAGAAGAAATAGTCAAAGTACAAATTTTGTTCGTCTGTATGGGTCAACAAAGAAAACTTGTCAAAGTAATCTGAGAATTTGATGTGATTGGCCAGCGCTCGTGTTGTCCGCTGTACTATTACATTGCTGGTGACTAATAAATTGTCAAAGTAAACTTGTTGACACGTTCACACCAGTAAATAAAACTTGTCATATGAAAAGTTGTCATATAAAATTTGTTGCATATATACACACGTGCACTTGGCATATAAAACTTGTCCGGCTTAAAAACAAACACATGCATTTTAAAACAAAACAGCAAAGCTAATTGAAAATTATAATTTAATTTGTTATTAATAAGATATCTGTGAATGATTTTAATTGGAAAAGGAATGAATACATTGTCATTGGTAATTTTTGTTTTCTTCGATCAAATGTGTACCACGCTACTAATATACATTTCAAATCATGCATTTCTTGTTTGTTTCGAGTATAAATGCCATATAATAAACTTTTTATTAACCTCGCTTGCTCGGTCTTTACAGAGAAATATCGGACCTTGGTCTTTTTGTACAAACCTCGCCCTACGGGCTCGGTCTCTACAAAAAAGACCTCGGTCCGATACTTTCTCTGTAAAGACCTCGCGCTCGGTTAATAAGAAGTTAGTAATTTATGCATAAGACTAAAAACAAAGATTGAACCCTTAACAACCTAATTTGCAGAAATGTAAGTGCTGCATTTCCGAATAATTATACATTCATACATCTCAGGGATCTACTAGTCCTGATGGCAATGATGGCATAGCTGGAATAAAAGGTTCCGAAGTAAGTGTGGAATGATGGTTGTTCGTTTAATATTTACCAAAACATGTTCGCCAGGTGTGTAGAAATCAGAGTTTGTCAAAGAATGGCGAGCTGGACAGAAACTGCTTTGGGTAGGAAAAACAGTTACACAGGTAACCGGGATTTATCCTTAAGTGGCGAAATTTTGTTATGTGTGGTGGTGCCCCCTCCCCACTTTTACGAAAAATGTGGAAATTGGAAGTTGATGACACCTGAATTTCTAGGGACAATCTGGAGAGCGAGGAGAGAAAGGCGACATTGGAGAAGTAGGAGTGGCGGTATGTTTTTAATATTGTAACATATCTTTTCTGTGTTGTCTTTATTGAATTTCAATAAAGAATCGCGATATCAGATTAATACCGTTAATTTTTCAGTGTTTTGTACAGCCATAACAAATTCAAATTATGAATGTAAGACATATATTTCTTATTAACATTTCCGGAAAATCAGGATTTTGACAGCCTACTGGTTATTTGGATAGACAATTATTATTTATCGGCTACGACTTGTGAACTGGATAATAGAATCTATTTTTGACATTATCGTGATTAAGCGAAGTGCAAGAGTAAATTTAATAGGCTTATTTTCATGTTTTGTAAAATTGATAAGCTAGTGTAAATAATGATGCTTATTTAATTTTTTCAAGGGTGATGATGGTCAGATCGGTAATCTTGGAGAAACTGGAAGTGATGGGGAGAAGGTAAGAATAGACCTTACCGTTCACAGTCAACGATTGTATGCTGCATGATTTTTTCTCCTTGGGTTGCAGGAAATCTTTTTTCTAAATCTTCCAACCACCCCCCCCCCCAAAAAAAAAAGTCAAATGGTCCGTCCCTTAATATAGGGGTGCCCGTAATAGTGGGGTGCCTGCGAGACGAGAGGTATACACTGTACACTCGATTGAGTGAACAGTGGACAACATCATAGGGATTTTACCGCCTTTGGACCCTCTAACCTACGATAGCCAGTGGCGTTCCCTGGCAAAATTGTTGCCCCCCTGAGAAAATTTGGCCTTAAGATATGTACAAGTTTATAAGTTATTTATACATATCTAATATGCATGGTAGAAAAAGTATTTTTGGATGGTTGAGTCTGTGTGCGTTTTTTGATAACATAGCTCCAAACTATTAAATCTCCAAAGGCCCATCTACAGGATACAAGTTGTACGTACTGTATATACGATGATGTTAATGCGAAAATGCCAGTTTAGAGAGTCTAGATTTTAAAACATTTCTGAGGAGGATGCAACCCAGACACAGGCTATATGTATGAACGATTGAAAAGCTACAGAACTATATTTGGTGGAGCATTGTTATTTCGGAGGGCAGTTAAAAATCGCATTATCGAAATCTTGTTTTATTACATATTAATCAAAGCTCATTTTGTGATTTTCCCTTGTTTAAAATAAGGGACAGTAAATGTTCCTTGGGCTCAGTACATCAAAGTTGTTGGACGAATCCATGGCTAAAAACGCAGGAAATAGCATTTCCGAGGTTCAAATTTTAAAATTTTCTCGAGGGAGCATGCCCCCGAACCCCCCAAGGTTACGGGTGATTCATATACTGTACCCTCCCTCCACTTTCGAGTACGCTACTCTATCCCTGCATGTTTTAGGTCTTGGTGCAGTTATACATTTTTTTGTAAGTAAACCTACGGGATTTATCCTCATATGTTACGGTTACCATTGAGTGATTTTAAAAAATACAAAACAATGGACACTCCGAAAACGGTTAACATTTTGATTCGACGTTTCGACTAGCTTTCAGTCATCATCAGTCATTCCTGATGATGACTGCAAGCTAGTCGAAACGTCGAATCAAAATGTTAACCGTTTTCGGAGTGTCCATTGTTTTGCATTTTTTATCCTCATATTTCGCGCACAATAGGGTTGCATGCAATAGGCGTGCGATTGGGGTAAAAGATCTTCATGTGTGTCTGTCACGCTAGAACAGGAGAGCATGGAAATGAGGTCATTGTTGCAACAGAATAAACGATGATGTCTATATTACGTTTATTTATAGTCCATCAAACTTATTCGAACAGTTTCTTGTGCAGCGATCGTGATAGTTTCCTATATAAAACCAAAACACGACAACGAGTAGTTTGCATAGCTTAAAATATGACTACAAAAGATGCCGTCTCATTAGTATTCTTTATATAAGATTCAAAAACTCGTTAATAATTCATGAAGCAATTATCCAATCTTGAGTAAGAAATTAGTCACGTGCATACGTACGTCTTTATACCAGCTAAAGAACACTTTAACAAAAGACCATTGTTATGCAAACTATATAAAGATTTTTATATAAAGATTTTTATATAAAGATTTTTATATAAAGATTTTTATATAAAGATTTGACTTATTATGCAAACGTTTTTGAAGTCATTTAAAAAACTCGGGCTCGTGCTTTAAACCTAATAAAACACTCCTGCTCGTTTTTTAAGTAGTACATATTAATTAGGATGAACAATTATATAATGCCACATGTGTTTTATCAGGTATAAAGTCACTCCACATGACATATAATGGCTGACATGATTTGCCGCAAGGTTTATGAATTATTAATGAGTATTTTAAGTATAACAATGATCCGTCTATGTGGTTAATATACATAGGATTTCCTTTACATTGCCCTTAAAGCGTTCATAACCATGTTGTCCATGAAACAGGGTATTCTTACTATTGTTATATTCTCGTGTTTCAGGGAAATGTTGGGGATAGAGGAGAAGTAGGAGGCACGGGAGAGAAAGTAAGTGACATAATTTACAAACGCTACCTTTTATGAATTTTAAGGTAACAGATTTTTAGCAATTTGATAAATTTGCTTGTTTCTATTTGTTTCTTTGTTCCTTAGGGTCGAAGGGGAGATATTGGATCGCCAGGACCTACTGGAGATAAGGTTCACTTTTTTAATAAACGAATTCAATATCCGCCTCGTTCCCAGGCTCCCTCCTCTACGCTCCTAACTTGCTGGAGGGAAACGCCTGGGATCGAGGTTGTTCATTACTGTAAGCAGTGCACCAAAAATTGGTTGTTTCAGATCATTCTGAATCTTGGCTGTTTTATCCAATCTGTTTTTACAGTGTTGAGTCCTACAATGGGCGATTAATGTAGGACTAACTGCGGATTATTCTATCTTACATAGGGCGAGTCTGGATATAAGGGTGGACAAGGAGGTGAAGGGAGTAATGGCCAGATGGTATGTCACTAAACATCTATTTTGTATGCGTTTGTATGCATGCTTTAAAATCATTGTCTAACGTATACAGACCTTCATGAATTATGCCAGGACGGTGCACATTTATTTTGAACACGGAAAGTAGGAAGTAGGAAGAATGATGGGAGTTTGCGATTTTAAGAAATTGTGGGATACGGGATAAGAAACATCTATGGAAAACATACGGGATAGAAAAAAAAATTAATACTGTGACATTTTCTGTACAATATATGCACACTACATCATGCAGCAGCATTTTTAGGCATGCAGTAGCCGGGCATTTACAGTAGGTAGGAGGTCGTCCAACCAGTTTTTACATGTAATTATATCACACTTGCGTCGGTTTTCTTTGTTCGTCCGAGGTTTATAACTAGCTTATATACCTTGAATAAATGATTAGATTAAACTTGTAGACAAAACGCGAGAATTTTTCATTAAAAATTTTTGAAAATGACAAAATATGTTGGAAAACCTCCGCAAGTGTGATATAAGTTAGTTACGCGTCCTCGGGTCAATATATCAGTTATAAACCTCCTACTCGGTTTATAACTCTTACTAGTGTGATATTTCTTGAATACCTCAAAAGTTGTCTAATGCTAATTACTTTATGTATTACGAACGTTTCGACACCTTTTTGTCGAGAAGACGCTGCATGACATGTTGCCACACCCATACACGGTATTTTCTGGACGGCCAGTTTTGACACCCAGGCAATAGCCTGGCAGTAGTTATAAATATTTTCTTATGATTCATAATCATATAATTATTACAACAGGGTGTCCCTGGACCAGATGGTTCATCAGGCAGTTATGGGGAAGCTGGACTTGAGGTTTGTCTTGTATTTTCAAATTGCCGTCTCAAGCTGTTGTGTCTCTGGCTGGCTTTACTTCTGGTGTTTTACTAAAATCCTGCTGTCTGTTTATTTTATATAATTTTTGCAGGGACTTAATGGATTAGCAGGTTTTCAAGGCCGCCCAGGAGTGAAAGGTCCACAGGTATTATTCAGCAACTATTTAATCATACGCAACACGTACATACTTAATTTCAAAGACTATACAATCTACTGTAGATGACTCTAAATATTACTTTTTACTGAATATGCAGGGGGGGGGGATAAAAATTAGTCATGTGTTTGTCCAGTGACGTCAGTTTCTATGAATGTAAAATCACAAAACAAATTTTTGCAATAATTATACAACGATCGAAAGACATAAAAATGGGTGACCATGCAGTCTACATAGCCGTGCTTAATCTATTACGAAGAAGTGATGAATATACAGTCAGTAAGCTTACATCTAACAGCCAACGAAAACTTTGGACTTCCATTGTAATCTCTTTTTCGCCACATACCCGTACTAGATTAAGCAATAAGCATCGCTTTACTGGTTCGCTATTAATGTACACGCGAAACATATGAAGTAGTTCCTCTCAACCTATTCCGATTGTGACTAGCTTTTACTTTCTTGTTGACATTCTGCTAAAAATCATAATGTTAACGTATGTTAGTATTATAATCATGCAAAAGTTGTAATAAAAGAATATTAACATAAAGAGGTTTCCTGACTTTGTGTTTTTAGGGTGATCGAGGCAACACGGGAATATCAGGTGAAGAGGGGGAACCAGGGGTACTAGTAAGTAACTATGTGCATTCTTTTTAGAAAACATTTAGTCCAAATATTTGATGTGGGGCAATGCAACAGGGGATGAAAAAATAAGATGGAAAAATTACACGAAATGACACTAATAAGTTATAGTTATAGGCACTGCTTTTTTACCCTCGTATTTGATTTTCATATCTGATGCAAGGATTCAAATATTAGCTGCAAGGATTCAAATATTAGCTTTTCAAATATTTCAGGGGTCTCTTGGAGCTGAAGGTGAAAGAGGAGATAGTGGCTTTAATGGTTTTAAGGTTTGTAAATCTTTAAAATATTTTACACTGAAGTACATCTCTCTGCTCTACTTGGCACCAGAACCTCAACTAATGGTCGCGTCCAGAACAAATTACAATTACAGTTGGTCGAATATTTTGTCTGGGCAAAAATATATCCATTTTCTTGTGAAAATATAGAATTATTAAATTTAAAACTATTTTAACTATAGTCTATAGTGTTTGGCATAACATTTTATTTATTCACGTAATTTATCGAATGGGCGTCGGGAGTCAAAATAAAATCGAAATTTTCGATTTTTGTGGGACATTTCAGGCTTTGCAGCACTGCATTGTGTTGTATTGTCATTATACCATTTCTCACTGGTTTATAACAAGGATTTTAATACAGCTTGTGAGTAAAGTAGTTGTTGAAGCCGAAGTGCACTTACTATCGCATGAAAACGAAACTTTTGTGGTAGTCAAAGACCTTGTGGTAGCAAGTAGTATGCTAGTGAGGCTCAGCTAATCAACTTTGGCTTTCACTATCGCTACCATTAAGGAACCATTAATCAACCAGATGCGTTTAATCTGCCTGATTAACCAATTAGATTCGTGCTATATATGTCAGTGAATGGTATCAGTGGTGGAAGTGGAAGTCATGTTCCTCACACACTTGAAAAGTACAACAGATTCTGACTGTGCAATAAATCGTGACGAGGCCTCGTATCCTAGGATACGGGAACAAAACGCGGGAAAACAAGCGAAAACTGCTTGACAAGCCAAATGCAGATGCTATTGTGTCGACTTTAACGGCTTGTTTCTTGTTGCTTTTTGCAATTTATAACGATTTTTGTGTGTATTTTAAGACTTTGTTCCCACAACGAAAGCGGTAAACGAGTATATTATAAAAGCGACCGGTTTTTCTCCCATTTTTGTGTGGAAAAAATGACAACGTAGCGATGGTGTTTATCCAGAAGCGAAAAACAGTATTTTACTGAGATTTTAACGTCAATATAAAAGTTATTCCGTGAACAATCAATACAACTATGGAATGAAAGTATAACTTTTCGAATTTGACATAAGTATGAAAGAAAACAACAATCAAAAATCACAAGAGAACGTCAAATGTTATTGATTCGTACGGAAAAATATGAACTATGGCTGTGGCTCGATAACATTCTGCAAGCAGCTTACAAGTTTAAAAAATGAAGGCTACATTACCTGAGCGAGTTGTAATCTTATTTCTTCAACAATAGTTTCATATTTCTTACGATTTTGGTGTTGTATAGACGTTTTGTAGCCTTGTTGGTTGTTTGTTTTGGCCATACAAACTACGACAATAATACAAAGTCAAAGGTTTCCTTTTTCGATTGACTCCAGCATCTTTTGCTTTAAATATCATGTTATATTTTCTCAGAAGTATTTTTTCAACTTTCAAGCTCAGTTTTATAGATATTATTTTCGAAAAAAGCCGTAATATTCACGAAAAAAAGCTGCCATAGCCGACAGCAAAAAAAAACATTTTGTCAATTTTCCCGCGTTTTTCCCCGTTTCCTAGGATACGAGGCCTCATTACGATTTATGAATAAGGTCTATACCGTATTGTTCTATACTACTCTTAGTCAACCCTGTACTGCGCTCCATTGTGATGTACAGTAGTAATATACCACCCTATGCTATTACCAGCACTGTATATCGTGCTGTTTCCTTCTACACATTTTCGTACTTTTAGGGACCTATGGGTGATCGAGGTTCTCCGAGTAAGCCAGGGGTTGATGGACCAAAGGTAAGTCTCGCGTTTATGAATGTGATATAAGGTCAATTGTCGTTCGAACAAGTCGTATTGTACTTTATCAAAGTAAACATTTTGATATGATATTGAAATATAAACTGCTGTTGACAATTCATGTAGCTACTGTGGTTTTGAACGTTAACTAGTTACGAGTGACAATTTGTTGAAACGCATTTTAATTCTTTATAAAGGGTCAACGAGGATCAATAGGAGTTGACGGGCCCATGGGACTAATAGGAAGAGGGGTAAGGGTTATTTTGAAGGCTGGATAAACGCAGATACATATTGTCGCTAGTCTTTGCAAAACGTTTTTGCGCAATCTGTTGTGGAGTGCAATGGTTTTGCATACCTCATTGCTATGAATATGTAATGATATGTGAGAAGCAATTTCAAATCCTCGTTAGTGTTTTAAACTTGGCTTCCAAATCCCCAGTGCCATTGTTCATGGCACTTGTATTTAGACACCATTTCTGAAACATTATCTCGCATTTGAAATGTTACATCGTAATCGTAACTGCATGTAAATGTTCTATTATATACACATTTACAGTGATAAAAATTCGCATTTCGCGCATGCGTACCTGGCAGTACACCCTGTGACGGATAAACCGAGCGTGAGAAAGCCTAATTAGAAATCATGGATTGAAATGTGTTTATGGTATTATGTAATTGTTATGTAATTTGTCAAAACAAAGGGAATTCAGGGTTGATTTTGATTTCCTCAAGCTTACCTTTCCGTTATATGTATGTATCCTGTGGATTTTGAAATAATATTTTATACGAAAATGGTATTTAGGGTTCACGAGGTGCTACCGGAGGCATTGGTGCAAATGGCCGTAAAGGCTCCAAGGTGAGAGGTTTTATCTGTTTTATTTAATCAGCAACTTAAATTTCTTTACTACTTTAGTCGTGTCTAATTTCTCAAATTAGACTAAATGTATTAAACTTTATGTGTATTAGGGACAAAGTGGTGAGAGTGGTCCACAAGGGAGCCAAGGAGAGCGTGGTGATAAGGTTTGTAGTTAGGACCGCGTACACTGCATGATAACAAAACTGGTTTGAGTAATAAGCCAATTCGCCAATTCGTAGTTTCCACTGCATGCGCATCCAAATGACGTGTTTTGCGTCGGGAGAACTTGCAGTTGCTGAGATTGGAAGAATTAGAATATGCATATCAAAGTATTCAACTGTTCAATCATCATTTAAATATGCAAATATAAATAAAGCCGAAAGTCAGCCATTACTAAGATATCAACTGATAACATTTCCAAAGTAATGGTTAAGATTCATTGCTTGAGATAAAGGTATAAAGACGTTTTGCAAACAAGTTAACATCTTCTCCGTACGTTTGGGCCCTTATAGTTATGGAGGATTTCTATGGTGAATGTTGAACTGCCTTTAATTTTTCAACAGTCAACAATGGGTTGTGATTTCCAGTAGGCAGTATACTTTTCAGAGTAACAAACGATCTAAACTAATAAAAATTACGTAAAAGCATTGTCATTATGATTCAGAGAAACCAATGTCAATTTAATATTTAACAATTATTGAATGAGGTTGAGCATGATACGAAGAATTATCAAGCCCGTTGTGTTATCACTTCATGACGTCATAACGTTGAATATGATTTTTTCATAGCAACATTATGACGTCACTCCGTTAAGTATTATGTCAAAACTCCATATTTGGTCAGCTTTTGAGTTGATATGACGATTTCGCAGTTGGCTGTTTTCAGAAACCATGAATCTTTTAAATAAATAATAGTATTGTTTTTCGATACGTCTCGCGTGCAATGTATAGTCAAACAAACAGATTAACCTTATTGAACAGGGTGATGAAGGCAAGGGAGGAGACAAAGGTACACGCGGAGAGCGAGGGGAGGAGGTATAAATGTTTCTTATTTTCTTTTTGACTTTTCCAAATTGTAATGATATATATAGTAATTGTTATTTTGCACTTCTTGTCTCCATCCCAAATTAGGGCGTCGAAGGCGAACAAGGAGCTAATGGTTTGGTCGGAAAAGCTGGAGAACAGGTTCTGTACCTTTTAAATTAAACCCGTTTGAAATAGTTTAAATATATCTATGATAATACAGTAATTTTAATCATTCAGAAAAATGTAGATTTTACAGGATTTAAACAAATATGCCGAGAAACGTTTGTGGCTGTTTCGACTTTTGTAATAGATGACCTCAGTGACATATAGTACGTCGGGGGAGCATGAGGGACATGTACTGTACACAAAGATTTCTTGAAAATGCCATAAGAGAAACAGAAGACATAGCACCCTTTCTAATGCAAAAAAAAATCCCCTTATATTCGTTGCGCAACTCGTGCCAGTCATCAAACTTTGTTTTCTATCTAAAATAAAATATTTTTAAACAGGGTGAACCAGGATCTCCAGGATTAACAGGGGAAGCTGGTGCTATTGGTGAAACGGTTAGTACTAATCACGTGACAAACATGTGAACAGGAAATAAATATTAACCTGCTGAGAGTTCCTTCATACTGTATTAGTAGACCAGCTAGAAGGTAATAAAACTTATTAATAATGCATAAACCAAGAAATCAGGAAGACGTCCTTTCCACGACACTTTGAAATTTTTCTGAAGTACTAGTACCTTGACTACTAGTACTTTGAAACTATGTAAATTATAACGGTTGAGAAGTCAGTTCAAATACGAGACAGATGACTATAGTTTACCAGGACTATCTATATAGTTTAGAGTCCGCGTGCATTAATAAGGTTTGCCTTTCCAAAATGTCATCATTACTTACAGGGCAGCAAAGGTGAAGTTGGATATCTTGGTGATGTTGGGCCTGAAGGACCCCAGGTGAAATTATTTCAATGGAGTAAAATAATCTGCTAGATAGGACGAGATAATAAATATAATCTACAAATAAATTAATAATACTACAAAGAATTACATATCAGTTATAAATAGAATTCCGACTTTCCATGAATGGAGAAAATGTGGAAAATGTATATTGAGAAATCAGCAGTAGGTTTTTGGTGTCCCCCGCATATGAAAGTGATTAGCACATGTGTCCATTTATAATCAGTGGTGGCTTTCGGCAAATTCTGATTTTCATTATATATAAATTCCAAGAATTGAAAACAGAATTTTGTAGAACTTTCAGGATTTCACTTTTCTACTTTTCGCGAATTTCCCACCTTTTTTCATGTTATGAAATGTTTTGCCGCAACGAGAGAAAAACATATCTTTTTAGAAAAAAATTCCCAAGTATTGTTAACTTTCCCATCACATGCTCGCTGTCTCAATATTCTCACCTTTTTTACGTTGTCTAGTTTTTCATGAAAAGTGGATGTCGCAAATTTCCCACCTTTTTTGCGCTTACCATTTCTAACGAAACCCGCGAAAAAGGTGCTTTTTTGAAATTGAACTATTTAACGTCAGTAATTAATACGCCACGCACCCTGATCAGACGTTTGCAAATTGATTGGTTAATTTATAGAAAAGTTTTGCGCCAAAATTCATTGTTGTGTTGCTGTTCTGCGTAAATAACGGCACTGTTTAAAACAATATGGAGTACAGTGGGTTAAACCAAATTGTACTCATCGCACGATAAGTAATATTTTAAAGGAGAATTTCCCGGAGGTTTTTCAGTAAATAATTTCTTCCCACCACTAATTCTTTTATCGTTGGCTCTGAATCTTGGCCTTTTTATAGATGTTGTCGTTGTCGAAGAGGTTCGACTTAGCGGAGCGGGTTAAGTGATGCCCGTGCAAAAGAGGATGACGGTTGATAGGAAATAGGCAAACCAATTAGTGGCCGAGATATACCGCTGTTAACTGGGATTGTTGGTTAGGTATTGCAGTTGTTGTTACGGGTTCTCCGTTGACAGTATAAAACTAATCGAAATTTTCAATTTCTAAGTATCCATTTTCCGAGGGTAGAATTATTTCTCCTTCCGAAGTGAGATATACTCTTCACTAACATCAAGCTTTAAAATCATGGACAAATTTCCGACGTTCAGTGACTGCGGCCGCAATTTTATAACCCTTATAACCATATCTCTGTGCGATACTTTGCAATTTGTAAAACAACGTCTGCCACTTGATGGGAGGGGCACTCTGGGTAAGGCCATTGTGTGTGGCGTAATTATTGGCGTTAAAGGGTTCATTTTTTAAAAAAGTACCTTTATTCGCGGGTTTTGTTTAATTAACGAAATGGTAAGCGCGAAAAAGGTGGGAAATTTGCGATTTCCACTTTTCATGAAAAACAATAGACAACGTAAAAAAGGTGGGAATATTGAGACAGCGAGCATGTGATGGAAAGGTTAAAATTACTTGGGTATTTTCTTTTGAAAAGGTATGTTTTCTCACGTTGTGGCAAAAGGTGGGAAATTCGCGCTAATCAACCGGAGTAAAAAAGTGAAATCCTGAAAGTTCTACAAAATTCTGTTTTCAATTTTCGGAATTTAGTGAAAATCGGCAGAACTGCCAAAAGCCACCACCGATTATTTATCTCTGCCACCGTTTGTTGGATTGCGTAATGTGCAGTTTTCAATAAACAGTTTGCGCCTATTCGTGAGAAAAGTGCTTCCAGTTTTCCTCTAGCTTGCAAGCACTGCAATTTTATCTCGCATTGCAGTAACTCTGAAACAAAACGAGGGATTTTTCGCCACATTACATATTTCACTCAATTTATTTCCCAACTTTTATCGACATTTCAATTTTTCTGAGAGAGGAGCCTCTGCCTATGTGAATGAAGTAGGTAAGTTTTACTCCTCTCTTATGCTAGGGTGAGCTAGGTGACCCAGGAGAAGAAGGAGGTGCTGGTGATATCGGTTATGCGGTTAGTAAACACAGCATGCATGTACTGTATATCAATAATACAATACATATAGTTGGCCACTTGCATTCCTATTATATAGACCGTAATAGACGAAATGAGGTAAATGGATTGATTTGTATTTTTACAAGATTACTTTGCATTTGCCACAACCATTATTTTCCCGTAGATCTTATTTACGGATGAGTAAAACTGTAAGAGAAGACACGTGGAGACGGTCTAATTGTGCGCGTTCAGTTTTGAATCCAAATATCTAATGTCAGAGCTCGAATTCGCATTTGACAATAAGGCTAAAGACCTACCTAAAATGATCATGTTTTGTGATTGGCTTTCAGAAACAAAAATAATCATTGTTCGTGACTTGTTCTTTAGGAAGACGATTTCTATAGTTTTATTGTCTTTCATTGTTATAATCAACCAACCAGGAGCCTGGATAGTATAGGTAGATGATGACCCGACAGTAAAGAATGCTATATATATTACTTTCATTTATTTATATTTAGGGTCCTCCTGGTGTATTTGGTGAAAGCGGAATAACTGGAGTCGATGGTGAAAAGGTGCTTTTCGAATTTTGTACAGTTTTTCTCTCGCCAACGCAGACTTGCTGAAACAGAAAACAATGTACTATAGCGTACGATTCTGAAAATATATATTTATATATTCACATTTTTGTTTATTATCCTCCGAACCCCTATTGAAACGCACTGGCAAATTGCTAACCCTTCTTTGTCCTGAAAACACACTATGTTTATTACACTGGATGGGGAACGATAGGTGTTCAAGTCATTATAAGGCCTAAGGACATACTAGAGGTAGCTTGATATTACCGATCCTGGTTCCCGCTCTAAGCTAAATGACCAGTTGAGTATAAGCCTAAAGCTGTTTATGTAGAATAGTGATATGCAATGCCTATTTCTTAATAAACCTATTGTGTGGTACAGGGTGCTCCAGGACTGGCGGGGGGAATTGGTTTACCTGGACCTCAAGGTGAACAGGTAAGAGGATGTCTTGAATTTGGTTTGTTCGTTGTCTGACAATAAGCCAATAGTAAAGACGAGACCACTTTGGCTAACGTTTTTGCAATGTAAACGTCGTGAAGATCAGAGGCGCCGGAATATCGATAATTGGGGGGGGGGGCAGATATTCGTGTTCTGCCCAATTAATTTCTTTTGAAATCGTTTGTTTTTACAGTCTGTGAACACGAATATATGAATATCTGCCCCCGCAATTATCGATATTCCGGCGCCTCTGGTGAAGATATCTGGAAGGAAAAATGAAATAGTAGTCTGGCTATCAGTAATCACACTGTAGTTGACCATAGTGGCGTTGTCTCTCGTCTCTTTCGAGAGGATGACGTTTGAGGTAAACGTGTGCCTCAGTTTAATATCAAAGAGATTTCCTCTAACTAGCACTTCACATGCTTTGATTCAAGTGAACAGCATTTTATTTCAAAAACCTTGAAAAGTTTGAACCTGCAGCCTAGGCTTGCTTTATAGTCAGTCTTTCTTTCAGTATCGCCAAATCTAGTACCAAACGCGACGAATTCGCACTTCACAGTCAGTTTTCGACAAATTGTTGATGTGTTCTAGGGTCTACAAGGAGTTGATGGTGACGATGGGAAGAATGGAGTTCCTGGACAGCAGGTATATAAATACATGCGATGGAATTACTTGTGTATAACTGTGTGTACAGCCAGCCTCGTAGCAAAAACACCGCGGAAAAACGTCTGCGCATGCACCAAATTATGAAAATATGGCGGGTAATTTGAATATCAATTTCTAAAACAAAAACATGCTTATTAATTGGTCAAAAAAGTAAAACAAACGAGAAAATATAGCAAATGGGTAGACTAGACATTAATTGAAAGCGTCCTGGCATTTAAAGTATGGAATGAAATATAATTCATGTAAAAAATGTTGATTTTAACGGACACGACTTCGAAAATATTTGCAAAATTATTCAAAACAAAAATTCAAACTAAAAAGTTAAGAAAACTCTCGAAAAGTTAAGCTTCTTAACCCACTCAAATTGTAGAATAAATCCTAAAGTTTAATTATTGTGAACACGCAAATTTTTTATATTTGGCGACACAGTTTTTTTTAAAGAAATGTATCTCAAACGAAAATTCGGAAATTGTCATTGCTTAGTTGATAAACAAAATGTTTCAGACGATAAATTTGTCAACAATCACCTTTAGTTCATGTTCTTGTACAATACAAATTCTTGAACCTTCTGGCTGTATTTATTTCTAGTTTTTAGAATGACATGTTTATTTTTGCGCTTGAAATCTGGCTGTAAAGACGCACAATGAAGTCACTCCTTTTTACCGCCATTTTGAGCCTTCGGAAACGTTCGGAACAACTTCTCATCAAGTTCTCAATACTATTACAGGTAAGGTTGACGCATGCGCAGACGTTTTTCCGCGGTGTTCGTAGCAAAGCATTTCATTGTATATAGTAGCGCTGAACGTGCGCGCGATTGCGCTTTGGGAATCTCGTCGATCCCTCTCCAAGCTTAAGGTTGATTGGCTGATCTAACCGGAAGCTTCGTTACAAACGTTACATTTCTCGTAAGAATAGACAACGTATATGAATTTTTTGGTATTGTTTGATTTCCCATATTAAAGGATTGTGATTCAGGATGAATTTCGTTTGATAATAAAGGTATTGCTTTACGATAAATATAATTGTATTATTTAAGGGGTTATTTGGCACGTCTGGAGCGAAAGGAAATGCAGGACTGCGAGGCCTAGAGGTAAGTACATATTTCATGTCCTTGGATTCGAACGTCCAGCCTGGGTTTGCAAAATTGGCTGAAACGAAACCGCTTGTAGAAAAAGCACGCTGAAAAATGTGGGATCTCGGGATCCTGAGAAACAGTTTCCTTCAGCGTGGTAGCGAAGAGGCTAAAGCAGGGGGGTGTAGTATTGCATTTGCCGACAACATTTCAGCCGTTAATTAATATTTTTCCCCAAAATAATTGTTGGCGAGCGAGGGGGGGGGGGACATACCATTGCTCATTAACTTTCTAATTCATGTACCGTTTTATTTCGGTAATATTTTCATAAATTTATCAAAATTTTTGCAATAACTGTTACTTTTTAATCCGAGCCACTCGAATATTTTCGCTGATTACGAAAATTTGCCGATAAAGTGGTTACTTTGCCGAAAAGACAGTTTCAGAGGGTGTCACACCTTCACACCCACCCCCTATAGCTTCGTCCCTGGTTTCCTTAGCAAGAACATTGGGGAACATTTTCATATATACGTTATGGGAGAATCGTTGTATATATCATTCTTCCGTACCTGTCATTTGAGTCACGTAATAATATAAGTGCAGCTATACTTTGTTGTTACATACATAATGGCGTAAAAGTTCGGTCAAGGAACAGGTTTGAGGAACATTTGAAAAATGCAAATTCAATATCCGAGGAACATTAAACACTTTTTCTTTCCAGAAAAAAATGTAAATGTTTTTCATTTAATCACAACTACCTCTGTAATGCTTTAGGGTAATAGAGGACCACGGGGATCAAAAGGTCGAAAAGGAGTTGTTGGAGATCGGGTAAGCAAGTAGTTAAGAGAGCTTCTTTCATGTGCCGCCGTGATTGGCCGTTTCTAAATTTGCAACAGGCAAAAGTAAATAAGAACTAATTTAGATGTAAAAGAATAATTTACAGAATCTCTAGGTTTAACATTCATTCAATATAAGCTGTTTTATTATTGAAATAATTATTTTTAAATAATTTGAAATATCGGTGTAAAATGTTTTAAATGTGAATGTCCTGATGGAATCAAAGCATGATTTCCTAGATTTCATTTTTAATTCCTGTCCATATTCAGGGTATAGAAGGTGAGGTTGGGCCAGTGGGTGAAACCGGTTTATCAGGTTCACGTGGACCTGCAGGAAGAGCTGGGATAAAAGGTGATCGTGGTGAATCAGGCCTAACGGTAAGTTGGTCTTTTCCTATTTCTGGCGACTGTATATCCGACATAACGTTGCATTTTCAGTGGGAAATGTTTTCCTGTCTTTTGTACTGATCAAAACACGCTATGGTTCAGTATGGTATTCAAAGTGTAATGTTGGTGCGGTTGTACAGGACATGGTATTAAACGGTATAGTATATGGTACGGTATTGTATTAATTGCATGGTAGAGATACGGGTCTATAGCATGCCACAATAAACTAGTGTGTGACCAACAGCGCAGTAAATGTATTTAATATCTGTCGTCACCATACTTACCCGTGTGGATGGTTAGGTGCAGACGTGGTCAGCTGATGATCTACGGATTTGAGTTACTTGGATTCAGGTCCGAATCACGTGGACCTGTCCATTCAGGACCTGACCACCGAACGTCTGCACCTTATCACACCGAACTTAGTTCGATGGAAATTATATTGAAAATCAATTGTAATCATGAAAAAAAAAATTTGCTTCTTCTCTGAGCAGATAACCATTGCAGTTGGCTACGAATTAGCTAATGACCTGAGAGTCTGCTTGGCACTCTCTATATCCGATATCCTGAGGGCACATGTCGTACCCAGACTGCGCGCGGTTCCTATGATATTAATCTTGGTTACTATGTAACCTCATTAAAATGACATTTATAAGGGACGCAAAGCCGTAGCGACGGGGGGGGGGATGGGGCGTGATATTAGTTATTGTGTAATTTCAGGTGAACTCATGCTATGAATGCCAATTTTTAGTTGCATTTCCCGACTTTCTGGTGTCCTAAATATTTAAAATTTTATTGACGGGGTGGAGAGGTAGGGGGTAATGCATTCTCTCGGACGTCTAGTAGATATAGACTGTATCCCATTGCGCTAATGTATCACTAGTCTCGAAAGAAATATTAGGTAATGTAAAACGTAATTTTAAAAAAATATTCGTAGGGAGCAGATGGACCGGCAGGAGCTGAGGGAACAAAAGGAAGTAAAGGAGACCAGGTAAATATAAACCATCACTTGCATCAAAATGCATACATTTTTAATTACAAATATATCACCAAATGAATCATGACTGTTGAAGTTAGGAAGCCATGGAGCGTCCTTACCACCATGGTCTAAGAGGCTAACTTCAAATACAAAATGTGCGCTTCAAAACTTATTTGAATTAAAAATCCTGAAGTTACTGACCAAATCCAAAAATCATGTGGAGGTGCCTAAACCTGGAGTAACGAAACTAGAAAAGTCCGTGGACCGTGGCTATACCTCCACATAAATAAAATCTGGGGGCATGAAATGAATAATGACCGGCAGTATATATTTAGAGCTTATAGACAGGTGATATCGAAAACAAAGTTTTACAGCAAAGTTTTATGACAAGTGAAACAGTACATGCACAGAGACACGTCCTTGAGGTAAAATAAGTTTTCACTCAGTTGCGAATGCATGAATGCTCATGTAGCTTTGTGGCACAGGGTCATGGGTTCACTTTCTACTCACGAAAACCTTGTTCGTAAGGTCTGCTTCTGTAACTGACGAATACTCGATGATCTGTTAATCTGTTGTGTGTAGCTCAATTCCTAATATTTGAATCGGTGTTTCGTTGCGAAATCAAAGTTTCTGTCACCATAACCTTACTTCAAAGTTTCAAACATATTTTAACATTTCCTAGTTTCAAATATTAGCTAGAATAACAACAATTCAATTTCACAGGGGAAACTCGGACTTGCTGGTGAAACTGGAACAACAGGCGCACCTGGTGTAAAGGTGAATACGTCAAATTATTTAAGAAGTTAAAGTAATTACTGTACTTTTTGTTTCAACATTTTGTCCATGATGCAATTGTTGTTGATTAATTATGACATTACATGCATCACGTCAGTTCCTTAATACGGAAACCTCTGTTAACGCATTTAATTTGTGTTCACATGAGAAACGTGCCAGACCGACTAGGTGACGTCTCACCTTGCCCCAGGTAGGACTTCAATCAAGTGGGATAAACTTTCCATATGAACCTTACCGGGACGAACATTCTTGACCAAATTAACAGAATTCACTGTAATTTAGGCTTTATTCAAAATCGGTTCACGACGGTCAAAAAATCTGGCCCACTGACATCATTGCGAATTTGTAACTTTCAGTAACTCATTGAGTCAACTGTTGAAGCATTCGAGTGGAAACGTAAAGATTCCAGGTACACAGCGCTATAACAGAGAATTTATTGTGCTGTTTTTTTTTCCATGTGTAGGGAATTAAAGGTGCTGAAGGAGGAAACGGTCCTGCTGGCAAACCTGGAACATACGTACGTGAAGAACTTGAAGAATATGTAATCATAACGTATGATTGTAGGAGGGTTTCAGTATGCCTTATGGGGCAACAAGATGGTGGTCAAATTATAATGAAATGAACTATAAAAGCGTTTTCCGTTTTGAAAACTGTCGAATGACCACGACACTAATGCTAAGTGAAATCCACCTAAACTCTTTCCTCAAAATCTGTTTGTAAATGAGCAACCCCAAACGGCTACGCCTCTTCCATGGGTAGCTAGTATTGTAAAATTATTGTACCCCCTGAACAATACACCCTTTCGGCAAGTGTGTCATTTAGCTACAGAGCCTCGTTTTCGTGTATGTGAGATTAGTTAAATCCAAGTTCCTCAATCACGAAAAAGAGGCTCTATAGCCAAAATGACTTATTTTCCGGAAACGTCTATTTCAATTTACCTTCAAGACGAGATTAGGACCGGCCTCTGAGTGCTACATACGATATCAGTGCTGAGTTCTACTATACATCATGTACTTATGTGGCTGGTTGCATGTATGTTCAGAGATTGATAAGTGTTAATCATGGGTTAAACCACTGTTTTATTTTGTGTGCTCTGCATGCCTGTTTCGTTAAAATCTTTAGAAAATAAAAATGTCCGTCAATCCCGAGATTGAAGTAGAGTAACACATACACTCTCTCAATATGAATGTTTCAAAATTTCAACATACGCTTACACTAATCAGCTTTGGACTAACTGGCCCTGTTAGTTCACTGGGTCTTTCACCTTGGTGAATGATATGAAGCCTTATAATAAACAGTCGATGTTGAATTTTGTTTAGGGTCCTGGGGGTGTGAAAGGTAAACCTGGATTGCCAGGACTTCAAGGTCCTTTGGTAAGTCCAGATAGTTTTACTAATATGTAATTATACTATGTAATTACTCAAATTACATCGTAATTTAATACTAATACTAATAATACAATATTAAATTACGATGTAGTCATTGCATGAAATATACGTATACGCGTGCTTGAAAAGTAAATTAGCTCTTGGAAATTTAAAATACTCGGCGTTGATTTCGTTGAAACAAATAGTTTTCATCTTTTCAGTTAGTCAGGTGGCTATCGTTACTGTTCGAAAATCACCAAACCTTTCTCACACTGGTTACCAACTCAAATTATACAGTAATATATTGCTTGGAATAATTTTTCCGGAGAGATTTTGAGTTTTTTATAAAATATTGTATTCTAAAGATTAGATATTATCCTTTCTGCTACGCAAAAATGGACCATTTCAGTGAGAGAATAACTATGCAAAAATCAAGCAAAATGAGCTATTACAATAATCCATTAAATTTTAGCCAAGGGTCTGAGCTAACCTAGCTTTGAAAAATCTGCCCCTAGGCTGTAAGAGACCTAATGAATATTGTAATTTATCTTTAAGGGTAGTCCAGGATATTTTGGAAGACCTGGCCCTCCAGGCGTTGCAGGAGAAAAGGTACGTCTAGCTTTCGTCAAGGTACAGAGATACTTTCCATAATCCTATCCTGAAATGAAACCAGTGATTATGGTTGGATTTAGTGTTAGGTAAAACTAAAAGTTAGGATTAGGATTTAGAGTTAGGATTAGAGCTAGAAGTTAACACATGCAGTCAGATCAATCAAATTGTTACATGGAACACAAACTTCTTGGGCTTCTTGGGATTGGTATGACCACCAAATTTGGATTTTGGCCAAATTTTCAAAAAGGCTGGACCAGATCTTCCACTAATACAGAGATAGAAATTCTGCTCTGACCGATCTGGTCATTGGATGGAATGTACCCTAGGGTAGGGATTAGTCTATAAATTGAGGAAGTAATATGGAAATGGGCCCAAAGTTCAAGTACAGCATCATTTATTTATGTTGCAGTGGGTTGAATATGTATTTCAATAGCATTCGCGGAGTTTTAAATTGCCGAACTAATTTCCTTTTACACATCTTTTTCCAAAAGACATTTGAGTTTTATTACAAGCAGAATCAAACTCAAGCAACGATTCTAGTCGTAAATGAATAAATATGTTCTTATAATAAAGTCCTGGTCATTTTATGTAAATGTATTTTGTTACTTTAGGGTGAATTGGGCTCACGAGGATACGCTGGAATAATTGTAAGTATTTAAGGTGATAGAAATCATTAATCGGATTATGTATTATTACGATACATCTTTCATTTTGAGGAAACACAAAATTCGTTTTTTTGGGAAAGCCCAGACCTCAATCAACAGCCATTATTTCACTGAAAACATTCGCGTATACGGACATCATGTTTTGAGAAATAAACCTATTTTGTATTATTAATACTGTGTTTATATATTTTATATATCCTTAGAATATCTTGTCCTGCATTATACGTATTATTCGCCCATGCCATGGGAAAAAATATCCAACGTTTTAAGTAAAAGCTTTTATCAACTCTGGAATACAGTACACAAGCATCAAACACTGTAAAGTTCTAAAATATATTTCTTATTCATATAACTTTATCTACTTTATAGGGAAGTACCGGGCCTAAGGTATGCACAGTACAGTAGATTTGGACGTTTTTTCTTCGAATATTTTGGTTTTTCCTATATTTTAGTATACACTATATGACTATGTTGTGTTTCAATAATGTATTTTACTGTTTTAGGGTCGACATGGGCTGCAGGTAAGAAGGACGAGAAATTTGCCATCAACCGTCTATCAACTATATAGCGCGATGGGACTAACTGTATCTTCCAGTCTTCTCCGAAAGACACATACAGGGTTCCCACGGTCCCGACACTCATTATTTACTAATTTCTTATTATTTGTATGCAGGGTCGACCTGGCCGTCCAGGGCCACCGGGACCTTCGACTACACGTGGAGAGGTACGTCTTATAATGTTAGAATCAGACTATACGCTTACATTAGAACAAACATTTTCGGATTCGTTACGAATTTGGGTGTTTTCATAGCCTTTCTAATTGAGGTAAATATCCGCCATTTTGGGGGGTATTGTCTTCCCACGTCAGAGAATCTAGACAGGCTAAACAATGTGAAAAGAGACTTTTCAAAGTAGTAACTGCATGTAAATTTACACACAACTACATTCAGTGATAAAACTTGGGAGAGGCAATACGCAAGATGGCGGAAAACAATTCGTTTGCCGTTTTCTCTGATGAGCATGAAACCAATACAAATTGCTCACAGATTTATATCCGTAACGTTCGAATCCAGAGGAGTTTGTGGTACACTTTGTATCCGAAAAAGTATAAATCCGGAAAAAATTTATGATTTTCAAATTTATTGCTATTGCCTAGTGTAAACACGGTTATAATAACATTCCCGCTCATTCAACGTTTACTGAGACTACAATCCTGGACAAAACATCTGCGACACTTCATTTGACCAACTTTCTAATATTATCAGAAATTTAGAACCTCCCACTTGCCCTTAACTCTAAAATAAAACTTGTTAATCTTTATAACAAAAATATATAGTAATTTTATGCATTTCATTCGCATAGCAATGGGGCGTGGCACAGTTCCAACAAACTGGTTCTGCGGTGAAAGGAGAAACACGCCCTCCAGGCTACTATCAAAGCAAAATGGTAAAAATTCAATTCATGTTTTTATATTTGGTTTACAGTTTGTTTACCTGACTAGTTTTACTTGTATATTACAGAAAACCATGATAGGTGAACTAGAAAGCAATAGTATTTATCACAGTATCGACGAAAGCAATATGGTATGTACAGCACATCGTTCTCGAATTTATATAATATAACGTCACTACTATACTGATAATAAAAATGCCCACACCACATTCCTATTGGCTTGTAAAGCAGACACGAAACTCTTCAGGCCCAGTCTGCCCTTGGCGTTCTTGGTGCATCAACCGTCCTCCTTGTGGAGGTAAGAAGCCTGGGAACGAGGTTGGGTCTGCCTCATCTCCGTTTCTGTCTGGTGTTGTCCAGTGCAACGCCACATGCATGGGCATACCGGAAGGAAAAATTTAGGGGGGCGGAAAGAAAATTGCCCGACTTTTCGGGATTGTGCCCGACTGGTACCGAAAAATTTTTTCCGGAAAAATTATTTTGGCGACCTCCCCCTAACAAACCGGGCTACCGCCCCCCCCCCAACCCTGCCGGCACGCCTATGGCCACATGCACATTTAGAATCCCCACCCTCGCGGCCTTAGCTAGGATAAAATTTGAGTTGAATGATCGAATTGAATAACAAGTAGCTGTGACTGTTTAATCATCATTAATGTATTCGCAATATCAATGTCCAACGCGCAGCATAAACGATTTTAGTCGGCCGACTAAAATTAACTAATTAATGCTTCCGTGGTCGGTGTTATGTTCAAGCGATATTTTTTGTCAAACTGTTCTGGCCGATTCGGTCCGCATGCGGCTTGTTCCGATTTTTATTGATCAATCAATCGGTCAGAATTTATCCTGCGATCACATGATTTTTCATTTTTATCACATTTTGAATTTAGCGATGTAGTCATGCAGTTGTCTGATCGTTCCGATCAGATCTAGGCGTTCCGCATATTCATATCTATAGTTCCAAACATAGTAACTTCTCATTTCCAGGTTAAAATATTAATTGATGTCAATGGTGCTATGGCAGACATTGATTTGTACAAACATGCAAATGGAAGCAAATTGTTTCCTTCGAGAACGTGTAAAGATTTAAAAAAATCACAACCTGCGTTGAAGTCAGGTAATGTCAATAACAATAGCAAAATGAACAGTATATCTACATTTTTTATGAAAATAATTATTTCAAGAATTAGTGTGAATACTCAAAAAGACTAAAAACAACTACCATAGATTTTTCGAAGAGATTGGCTCTTTCGTCATGAGGTAAGTTCGGAAAAAGCAGTGTATGTCAGTTTATTGTATTACAAAACCTACAATGGACGCCTATACGTATATAGGCCCAATACATATACATACAAATTTTATTGACCATTTCCTCGGCCTCATCCGAATCAATAGAATATTAAAGCTAATCTAGTTACGATGATAAGTATATATATATAACTATGATTGTTCAAAATTGTGTTCCGGTAAAGGTTGGTTTAAAAACCTCTATTGACTTGCTAAATTTTAATTTCAAGCAAAAGCAGGTTCGACTTTATTTTAGCATCATATATGTATACCAGTACATGTTTGTTTTGTAGGAAAATATTGGATTGATCCAAATGGTGGAGTACCTAATGATGCTGTCTTAGTCTTCTGTGATTTTGAAACTTTGTCTTCATGTATTTTACCAAAAATACCCAAGGTAGGACATTGAAGACCAATTTTCATAAAGGTCTATATCGTTTGTAACAACTATACATAGTTGACAATGTATGTTTTCTAAACATTGAAATGAACAGAATAAGTTGAATAACTCCCCTATCCAAAGTACTCTTGTTCACAGAGTATGCCAGACTGTCTGACTGTGCCTAGTGGTCGTTGGAACCTTCTGATATTTTCAGGCCGACACGTTTTAACACAACGGTTAACAAAAACGGTTCCCTCTATCTATACCAACACTGCGGCAGAGGCTGTTCTACAAAGCTTGTCGTATATCTTTATGTTATTTGCCGTTCCGCTATTTCTTTGTTTACCTTTAGATTGAAAAGAAAAAGTGGTACACGGGTAAAGATCGTTATATTTGGGTTGGCTGGGAACTTGAAAACTTTGAAAAGGTAAAAGAACTATTTTGTTTGAAATGAAACATGCATGCGAAGCTATAAGTGAAAGTATAAGACTGCTTCCATACAAAGAGAAAACGTGTGCTTTTTTCTGAAAATACAAAATTTTAGGAAACTAAACGATGGTGGGTACCAAGTACAGAAACTACGGTTATAGGCCAGTCCAATATTTTCTGAGAATCATGCATGCATCTCTCTAAAGAAAAGGAAGCTAAGCAGCAGTTTTATCTTGTTTCATATTCTTCTCAATCTACTTTAGATTATATATGAACTTGATGGTAATCAAATGAAATTCTTACAAATATTATCAACGAAAGCATGGCAAAATATCACATATCACTGTCAAAATTCGTTTGCATGGGCGAATGATGAAGACAAACAAAATAACTATTTAAAGATGCTTGGAGATAATGATCTGGAATACCATGCATTAAGTGCGAGAAAATTTCGACCTGTAGTAGTCCAGGACGATTGTAAGGTAAGAAATTAGTTAGGCCCAAAATAGAATTTGGCAAATACAACGACAACGTGCTCATCAACAATAGCATCTTTATTCCAAGACAACGCGAATATATTGCATTCCCTTCAGCATTCTAGCACGCCATAGTTGTTCAAACTTCTACGTTATTTACATCATTTTCACGGTTCATGACTGCACTAACAGAGTAAAACTTTCAAGTTGTTGGGGCGTTTATGTGAATTCACTCGTTATTGGTACATTCAGGGTTGTTCAAAAGAAAGATAAGTGCTTGTAAAAGTTTATTATATAATAATTACAGTGAAACACGCAATTTGATTGGTCAATATAGCCATGCAGGATCAGGCTATCCTGCACGAGATTTTCAAAATGACATTGTTTCACTGTAGTTATTTTATAAAACAATTACCAAATGGTTTTCCAAACAGAATAGCGTGATCCATGCACTTGGGATGTTGCTCGACTTTCGGAAAGCGTAAAAATACACTCGCCTGCAGCTCGAGCATTTTTACGCTTTCCGAAAGTCGAGCGACATCCCGCGTGCATGGATCACGCAATCCTGCACGGAAAACCATTCAGTACCTTTAATAATGTATGTTTTGGCTCAAATACAAAAGTATAAGTAATTTTTTCTTCTGCTGTCGCCGTTCTGGTTGCCAAACTCACTAACAACTGCCCATGGACAGCAACGTGACAACGACTGCTAATATTTTAGAAACGAAACTAATAACCAAAATCACACTGGAATTTTAGACATCGTCCATGCTCTCTATTTGCAACAGAAAACACAGATTTCTACATTCAAAAACGCCCTAGAAATAACCATATTTGGGTTAACTTAATATTCCTGTTTAATTTTTCTGGTTATTTCAACCAGGACTTCCTGCTTAAATTAATCAGACTATTTGGTGGATAATTAACCATCCACCTAACATAAACTGACTAGTAATTTTAACCAAAATGTGTTCAATAGTTTTGCACAGCGCACTTTTTCTGCGCATGATTACTGCGCATCATAAATGATATGTGTTTTGCCGTTTTCACACGACGTTTCTAAAAACGGTTAAATTTGTAACAATTTTATTTCAGGACTTATGGCCACATTCACACTGCAAAAATACTGTAGATAAACTAGTGGGAAAGTAAAGTATTAAAATGTAAATGTTTTACATTTTGTCATAGGTAAAGGATGGCGAGTGGCATAAAACAACAATTGATGTTCGTACGTCTAATACTGTTCGACTGCCTTTACGTGATATTGCTGTTTATGATATAGGAAATAAAGATGAGGAATTTGGAATTGACATTGGAGCTGTTTGCTTCGCATAAATAAACATCATTTCAGTCTTATTTTGCTTAGATAGTAATTGTTTACAAGATACATGTTGCAGTAGAATTTGTTACATGATATAGGTAGGCTGCACTAAACTATATAGGCCTAATAAATACAATACTGCTCAGAATTGTTAACATATATTAAGTTACCGGATGGGTCCACTGGGCAATGAAAAACTGAAAAATATAAAATTACAGCTTGATATTATTTGTATTTCGCCCTCTGCATTGTAGGTTATAGTATGCTGCCCTATAGATAGTCACCATCATCATTATTTACCTCCATTTCTATTATCTTCATCTAATATTACTAATAGTAAATTTGTTAAGTTAATATTATTTCCGCTAGAACAAACAAGAATATATTTTTTTATTAAATATACTACAAATTTTATTACCTTTTATTACTACACAATTAAGGTAAATTTGTTTGAAATATTGCGCACATATTGAAGACTAGATTAAAAAGGGTAGGTAAATTTTTCGCGAACCAATTAGACTTACTGGAGGTTAGAGAATTGCGAAGCGAATGCATGAGAGCCAGAAGCTGGTATTGAATTTAATAGCTGCATGATCGAGTCGTTCAGGAGGGGGCAAAGAGCGAGGAACCGCACCCAAACTACAGCTTCACATAAAGGTGTCAGGGACCACGGAGCTGAGGGACATGCAACCCCCCCCCCCCACACAAACCTCGCAAGCCAGGCTTTCTACTTCCGCTTCCCTCCTAAACACGCTCCAGCACAGACCCTGGTACAAGCTGGTTAAGTGACATCTTAACTCGCTTTGTCCGATAGGAGGGTAGGATGAAGTATGTCAAATGCAAAGAACGAGTTTTTAAGAGTGTTTATTTTGAATATCTTGCATTGGATAGATCAAAATGTATGATTTACTTTAGTTGTTTAGATTTTTGTATTGTAAAATGTATAACGGGAATATAGTATTATACTTTTAAAGGTTTAGACCAAGAGCGATAGCTGGATTAAAACAATCCGCTTTAATGACTGATTCCATTCTAAATTTACCTCAGTTTTATCTGTTATCAAAATAAAAACAGAATTAATGTAATTCTTGACCTTGCATGGGCAATCTCGTTCCCAGAGTATGCATATGACGTATGTAACTGACGAGACAAAAGAACGTAAACAAACATGAATTATTTTTCATTAAACTAGGGCTCAAATATGATTGGACACATCCTTGGTCTCAGGGCCTCACAACGCAGTGTCAGCCGTGAGGCCCTGGGACCGAGGATGGATTGGACAACGAATTAAGCCACTCCCAGGCGATAGAATATTTGAATTTATTTATTAATTTGTTGTCCAATCAGGTCTGAGCTATAGCTCAACAGAATGAAGTAAGACGCGGATATATTTGGGCCATTATACTATCGTTTCTTCGTCATAAACTCTTTGGTGATTTTAATTTATGATTTTTATAGTGTTATACATAACCATTCTTGGCGGGTATACCGATTTTACTCGAGAGAAATACGTTAAAAGGAAAAAAGTCGACATAGTTTACGACTATGTATACGTATTTAGGCCATTTCGGACGCCATCTTTCCTTCCTTTCCTAGGGCTGGCGCGGGCGGAGGTTGGATGCGAACTGTGGGATAGCAAGCGAATGCTGCGAAGGTAAACTTATATAATTCTTCACAATTTTCCATTTGTCAAAATTGTGGCACATAATTACAGCAAAGCCTATGAAAATAGTGAAGCTTATATTCTTCATAATTTCTCATTTGTAACACATAATTTGCCAGCAATTTCCACAAACGGCGTATAAAACATTTACTGACATCTCACATCTGCATGAATCTGGCATTAAGCCTGGTTCTCATTAATCGGCAATGTTCTACGATCCATTGTCTGTGAGCAACGAAGAAGAAAATGAACAAAAGATTTTGTGCATCAATGACCACCGACAATGGGCGTCGCCGATATTTACGACAAATGAGAATCCGGCTTTAGAGACCTTACGATTTAGGATGGCTACCAATACAATAAATCATTGAAAGGAATTGAATAATTACATTATATGAATAATTTAATAATTGTCCTCGCTCTGTTTACAACGCCAAATCACAGATTTTCACGTCTTGATACAACGGCTAAATTTCAAGCCGCAACAAGTGCAACTTCAAACTGGGTTCAGCAGAATCTTCCCAACCATAAAACCCATGTCTTCAACTTCTAAGACTGTATTAAATTCACACGATTGATAACATACGACGAATTATCTTTACTACCATTTATTTAAAGGAGTTTGTTTTGGCCGTTGTCATCGCGTTGCCGTCCTAAAATCGTAAGGTCCCTATTGTTCGCTTGAACGCGTAGAGTACAAATTAGTTTTTCAGATTGCGACGTTTCTTTATTCTTGTGTTGCATGAAACGCTCCAGGGAGCCACCAGAGTCCAGACATCAATGCAGTTGTGACGCATGGCTGATTCTGGCACCTTGCGCAGCGTTGTGACTTTCAGATTGATCTAAGTTCAACGCAACTCCATGGCCACAAACCTTGCTGGTACGTTTGACCAGTAGATTTGGTACACAAGTATTCTCGGGCCACAAAATTAACAGCCGCAACAGCTTTTGTTTTAATACATCGCTGGTCAGTATTCGGTTGAACTTGGGCCTCCTACAGACAAGTTTTCCTTGGCAAGTTTCCTTGACAAACTTGTCAAGGAAAACTTTATTATTATTATTTAAACATATTTATCCACGGTAACCTTTCAGTTGCCTGTTTTTCAAAGGGCCGTGGTCTAAAACTATTAAAAAGATATAAAACTAAATCTAAACCTAAAGTATAACACACTAACATTAATTCAAATTGAAGTATAACATGCATAACGACCTTACAATGCAAGTAAACATTCGATAAAATTTCGGGAAAATTTCGCTATCTTAGCAATTTTTAATAAGCCTTTTGAACTGATTCAATGAAAGATGCTCATGTTCCTCGAGAATTTCGTTTGGAAGTTCATTCCATGACACTGCTGCGCGGTAGGAAAAACTTTTCTTAAGGAAGTTAGTGTTTGGTTTTGATAAGTGAAGTTTTCGTTCGTTACTTCTCAATGCATAATTGTCGTTCTGGGACATAGTAAACATTTCTGTTAAATATTTTGGTGTCATTTTGTTAATTGTCTTAAATGTCATTGTTTGTTCACGTTGTTCGAGGATATTTGTAATGGGCTCCCAATTCAATCTGTTGATCTTATGTCATAGCCTGAGTTAGTGATAACATGACGTGCTGCTCTTTTTTGTAATTTACTTAATGTCTGTAGGAGGCTCAAGTTCAACCGAATACTGACCAGCGATGTATTAAAACAGTCGACAAGTTTTCCTTGACAAGTTGTGTTACTCTTGTGCATTAGAGACCTTTCGATTTCCGGCTTGGACGTCAAACAGCGAACCAATGTTTGCCGTTTGCGGTAAGCGGTTTGCCGTACAACACGTCGTTCGCATTTAGTTTTTAGACCTTTTCAGTTTTCGCGCTTTTTTTCTGTTGACAATGCATTTCAAAGAACAAGATTCTTAAACGATAGTTAAGCTATTCCTACACTTTCAGTGGCTAAAATATCTTCGTATTATTATTGATAAAATGCAATACAACTTTAATATATAAGTTGTCAATATATCGCAGCCATTTTGAATACATGCTATTCCAGTGACCACTTCAAATTTGAGAAATCAACATGCTTAAAAGATTTAATCGACCTCAATCATGATTTATATTTAAAGACTAAACGTATACCAACAAAAATAGACTATAATTACACGAGATAATTCGACGAAATGGATATAAAAAGCTTGAGGGAAATGACTTACGTGAAAAACCTTCTCTGGCGTTGAAAAAACCTCAAGAATATACGGCAAACGCAACCGCTGGGATGTAGTCATGTGGTCTCTTGACGTTTGCGGTTTGACGTTTCAGCCAAAAAACGAATATCTAAATGTCTCTATTGAGTGTTGTTAAACATTTACACGTCAAGACGGCCTTTTGTTTGCTAACGGCGATAGAAGTATTTCTTGTACAATGTACACTTGTGAAGTTTTCCTTAAATCTGCTTGTTCTTGGAAGCCTTCTATGATTCCTTAAATCTGCTTGTTCTTGGAAGCCTTCTATAATTCCTTAAGTCTGCTTGTTCTTGGAAGCCTTCTATGATTCCTTAAATCTGCTTGTTCTTGGAAGCCTTCTATGATGCAATCTCTACTTTCATTCTATAGCCGTATTTACACCCAGTGGGTTACACCGCATGTTATTTCCTGATTGGCCGACTAATTTAACCAGCCAATCAGCGCTAGCGAAGTCATGCAAAACAGGGGCAGACCAAGGCTTGTAGTGTAAACATTGCTTATGACGCAGTCCCTTTATTTTTCAAAACATTTTAAAATTTCTTAACGATTCTCTCTGTAACTAAACACTACATCATTTTCAGAAAACGAATGGCGCTTTGAACATGCTTGTTCGTCACGTTCCTGCTTTTCTGGCTCTATATTACGGACTTACAGTTACTTGTTTTGCTGTTAAACAGAGCTTCGGATTATCGTCTAGAAACACCAATAAACCATGTCTTTACCCTAGGATAACAACTATCAAGTGACATATTTTCCAAGGTAAGGAGACAGCTCTCGAGCTCATTCATTCTTAGATAGCATCATACGGCATCCAACGGCTATGTTGTACGGTAATGATGTAAAAAATTTGTCGCTTACGATCTATCGAAGAGTTTTGCGGTTAAAACCTCTATCCCCTATCTTCTTTATAATGTCATATCAACAACGGTACAATGCAAAGGTAATATATACAACCCATAAGACGGAGAAAGCTATTGTAGACAACAGGTATGTGACAAGTATACGCTTGTGACACAAGTATGTGACAAGTACTTCACAGGCTAACTCGTGAATTTTAGATAAACGGCAAACCTGTTCCTTTCCCCAAAGTGGGTAATCCCGGAATATACAGGCGCAACAAAATGAACAAATCGACTCGAAATGATGTGATTCGAAACGGAAACTACGAAAATTGTTTTTTCGATAACGTCGGTTAGCGAGGTGAGAAACCGGAAATACGTTCTCTGGTCGCTTTGGGTTAACTGTTTCACAATTAATCTGAGACAACTGATCACCTGTAGGTTAAACTAGAACAGCTAAAACACTCGGGCGGCGTCCGTGTTAAAAGAAAACGCAAAAGCCTGAAAGTTCACTGCGAACGGTAGTGTAAAATTTGAGACCCGGAGTAAAAACCCAGAACGCCGGAATTTCGCGGAATATGGCGGATAATTAGACACCTTAAGATTGACGTTTACGGCAAACGTCAAACCGCTAGCGAAGTTTTTGATTTTACAACTCTATTATAATAATAATAGCTTTTACACCAGTTTTGAAATATGTTAAACAATTATTAAACTTGTGCTCTTTAGCAATGATTTAAGATAGCAAATTAACCACTAGTCGAGTATTCACCAAAGCAGTAAATTAAGATTTAGCTTTTGAAGTTTACGTGACTACAAGCCCTCGTACGACAAATCTTAATTTAGTGCTTTGGTGAATACATGGCTAGTGCCAGTGGTTAATTTGCTTTTTTAAATCATTGCTAAATACCACAAGTTTAATAATTGTTTAACATATTTCAAAACTGGTGTAAAAGCTATTATAATAGAGTTGTAAAATCAAAAACCGCTTCGCTAGCGGTTTGACGTTTGCCGTAAACGTCAATCTTAAGGTGTCTAATTTAAGTAATTTTTCCGGCTGGTACTGCAAACTGGTTCATTTCATGGAACAGGAGACAATCACATGACTGTTCGTCTGTTGTGACTACTCCCATTTTCGCCAACAAGCTGCTCCATTTACTGTTCTAGAACACTTGGAACACTGTTCTGGAACGATGCACACGGTGTTCTAGAACAGTGTTTAGTTTATTAGTATGCGTGCAACCATGCATTACTATATCACTAGAAGTTACTATCGCAAGGTAAAGTGCTGCCTGACAGGTTACTGCTGTCTGCTGAGTTGCTTTTGTTTAGGAGACTTAACCACTGAAATGTATATACATGGAAAGCTAATAAATTATGCAATCAAAAGATGTAGGCAATAGCTAGTTTTTATTGGCTGGTCAACACATTTAGTTAACACATATCCCCGAAACACGCTATACATCCAGCGTAAAAACATGGCCTCTAACGACAACTTTGTAATATTATTAAGTATTTGTAAGAAATACGCAAACTATTCCCTAAACCTCTGCCCCTAAGCCTTTATGATAATACGATTGATTTGATATCGTTGACATACAAATATAGCTTTACAAAACGACGTTTGTATATATACCTCTCGCATGCCGCCGTCATTGCCGCGTCATTGATATGCGAGACTTAACAGCTTTAAAACACGGGCTTTGACGAATCCAATTCGACTATAAATTATTGTATGATGTTTTTTGTAATTTGCGTGCTATGTATTCGTTTTGAATGAGGATATCAAAGAAAGGGGCAATACTATAAATTGTTGTATTTACGCGCTATGTATTTATACGTTTTGAATAAGCTTTTTAAAGAACGAGGCAATACGATAAATTATTGATGTCTGTTGTAATTTGCGCGCTATCTATTCGTTATTTTGTTAAGAAACTCATACGACATAAAACGTCATAAAACTGAACATCTACATCGGTCGCTAAAATCGAGATTCTGTCGACTATATATATTTCGGAAAAGGAGACTGGAGCGAGTTTCAACTCGGCAACAATTAGTTATTCGCATAATAAATCGTATAATGGTTTGCTATTATTTGTATATCTAAGTATGCTTAACTTAATGTTTTTGCAACGTTTTTACTCGTTGATTTGCCCAACCCTGGCATGGCGTTCAAATAGCATATCACTGATAAGTATATGTCGGTATATAGCGATTAACACTTCAAAATAATACTCTATGCAGTTTGCATTGGATACATAAAATCTGTCGCCTTTATTTCCAATCACGTGAAAATGGGCAGTGTCACGTGTCTGTTCTGACTGCCCCTACTCGCAAATCGGGGTAGTCAGAACAGTTCAGAACAGTCATGTGACTATCTTCTGTTCTATTCCATTAGTGTTCCGAAAATCTGGAGTACTCCGAACAGTGAAATATCCAAATGGCCATTCTGCCATGAGTCACTGATTAAGTATTGGGGAAAAGGAATGTCCATTGTTTTCAAATGAAACACGGAAATGGATCCGCAGCAGAAAGCCACAAGGATGGGAGACAGAAGGGTGGGAGGTTGGGCGCTTGTACACCATACCAGAGTAAAGCCGCACCCTGACGCAGCCCCCTCCCTTCTCAGGTCATAATTTCTTTATCTTGCAATTTCTCTGTCGTGGCGATCAGCACAGAAAGAGCAGTGTCGGGAATTGCTTCCCCGACAATAAAGAAATCACTCACTCACTAACGTTTACAAAAGATTGCATTTTTCGCTTCACAAGTTACAGAAATATCTCGCCCTTTTGAAATCTAAATTCTCTCACTACCTCCCGCAAAGCGTCCTCGCGTGGAAACCACGCGCGCGAATCAAATAAGGTTAAACAAAATGAACTATATGTTTTTCGTATTATAAAGTACTTAAAGGTCTCCGACACTCTCCCCCCATTGCCCACGATTAGTGGGGAATGTCAACTAAATATCCTCGTTCTCAGCCCAAAGTTTTATCTTCTCTTTCGCCAACACAGCCGCCGCTCTTCTGGGTCTGAATTCTTTAGCACCTGGGTCTAGGCTTTTTGGTTCTTCGCGATCGTCCTCCTTGGTTGACTCGGTTGACAATTCTAGAGGGTAAAGATCTTGTATCGGCCGGTCGATCGTAGTTTTCCGTGATCTCATTCGAGCGCCTCGTACTACTCCGTCACGTCCCTTAATCAGCTTCGTAACTATGCCGATATTCCATTTACCGCGATTTCTACTGTCGTTCTTGATTAACACTACTTCTCCGACCGTTGGCGTTTTATTCTTTCCCTGGTGTTTAAGGTTACAGAACACCTTTGAGTGTTAATTTTGCCTAAAATTTTTTTATTGGTTTCAATGAATGCATTAGACTAGTTCTACTATCTGACCAAGTTTGAACGAAAAATGTTGAAAACTCGCAGAGTTAATTAATAAAATACATTTCGCTGCAATAATAAAAACATTGAAAATGTATCATGTTTCGCTCGCTACTCTGGTTTAAATAAATGATTACAAAGCCCAGTCGAATTGTAATCAAGACCCATATATATATATGGGTCTTGATTACAATTCGACTGGGCTTTGTAATCATTTATTTAAACCAGAGTAGCGGCGAGCGAAACATGATTGATATACCTGGTTGCAGTGAACGAACAAACTTTATATTGAAAATGTAATATTCAAATTCAATTTTCTCCCGAAAAATTTTACGGTAATTACTGATTTTCAAACGAGTTGTGCTCCTGCGGGTTTTAACCAATTTTTCTCAAATTTTCACAGGACATAGCTAAATACGTCAGTTTCAAAATGGTGTTCGGCTTTTTTTTAATTTTGGATATTTTAAAAATAAAGAGCAATTCACTCAAACAATTCAGAAATATATTGCAGTCGTCAAATAAATCGCCATATCAGCGGAATGACGAAATAAACAAAAATTTCCGAACACAATTTTTTAGAACAACTATTTTACTGTATAAAAATGATATTTTCATAAATATAACTTAAAACCAGCAGGAGCACAACTCAAAAGCGTAACGGTACCGCGATTTAAGATTTTCCTGAATAATTCTTACATTATTTTATTGTTTGTTAATTTTACAACTTTACCATATTTTGCATGCACTGGAGAACATTTGGTGAAAATTTGATGAAAATCGGACTGATATTGAGCGCGCAGTAGCGATTTTCCGCAAAACGCCAAAAAGGGTGTCCTGTAACCTTACGGTTGTGTCGTTCTCGAAGGGCTCTCATATACTCCCCCGTCCATCTTTTCCATACAGCTTCCTTACTTCGCAGTACATGCTTTGCACGTCTTTTGATCTCTTCTTCTTCCGTCGAATCCCCTTCTTCGTCAGGAAGAACATACGATTCACCAGTTATCATCAGATTAGGGGTAAGAACTGACAACTCCACATCGTCTTCTACATAAGTAAGAGGTCTGTTGTTTAAGCTGATCTCCACGTCTAACACGACTTCCTCAGAGCTCTTTCCACTTCAAGTGCGACGCTCTTATCACCTTGTACAATAATTGATTGTTTCACCAGACCAACAAGTCTTTCATACTGACCGCTCCACCACGGGGCCTTGCTCAGATTAAACTGCCAGGTAATGTTGTTCTTCGCGAGAAAGTCATTTACTAGCTCACTCTTGGAAATCTTCCGGATTCTATCAGCCGCCGCCACGAATGTCTTGGCATTATCCGAGTATACTTTTTCTGGTTTGCCTCTTCTCGCTATGACTCGCTTTAGACTACGCATAAACTCCTCGGTCGACATGTTCGGTAAGAGTTCCAAATGAACTGCTCTCGTAAGACTACACGCTAATAAAAGTATATAAGCATTCGACTTAGTTCCTGATCGGTTCTTGTACAGGAATGGGCCCGCGTAGTCGACTCCAATCACTTGGAAGGGTACGTCTGGTTCCCTGCGTTCGGTCCTTGGGTAGGTTGCCTGTGGGTGGTTTGTTATAACCTGAGTATCAGGCCCTTATGTTTTCATTCGCCAGGATTAATTGGCGGCGGCGAATGAAGGAGGGCCTGATACAATTCTTTACCACGGCGCATGTAAAAAGCCAGATTCTGGCTTTTTCGTCTGATTGGCCGATTAGACAAACGATTTTTTAAATCTGTCATTTGATTGGCTGGTGCTAATTAGATTATACTATTGTCAGTTGTTGATATATTTTATAACGATCACAACTACAATTATAGCCGGCCCACTAAACGGCTGAATTTAAATTAAAACTGCAGTAAAATCAGAAAATAATCGCAAATTAGCGAAATATATTGCAAATGTAGCTTATATTGCACTATCGACTAACTGACATATAGTTATAAAGTATACTTAATACATATATACTTTATAATTATATGTCAGTTTGTTGATAAATACGGTAAGCGCCATGTAAAGCTCATTGTATAGTCACTGAAACCTCTGCGGAGGAGAGAGCAATTGGGTGGCGATTTAATATAAGCTACATTTCCAATATATTTCGCTAATTTGTGATTATCTTTGTTAATTTTATAAGTTCATTGCAGTTTTAATTTAAATTCAGCCGTTTAGTGGGCTGCCTATGCTATAATTAGATTGTTGAGTGTCGTTGTGTGAAATTTAAATTTCTCCTGCGACATTTTGATTGGATACTAAATATAAACTTTGATGTGGGTGGAAAAGCGATCAGGTTAAGTTTTGTGTCAGGCTCTATTTGTAAAATAGAGCCTGATACTCAGGTTAGGTTTGTTAAAGGCGGTTACTTGAAATCTCTTACATCCGTTGCAATTTCTTCTCACTTTCTTCGTTAATTGACGTAGCCGTGGGATCCAGTAGCGTTTCCTCACCGCAGCCATCGTCATTCCGACTCCCCCATGTAAGGTGCACACATGTTCATGCATCACGATCTTCTCCGCCAGTTTTGATGTGGGAGGAATATATGTGGGGTATTCGCCTTGTATTCGCCCTTTGCACACCAATAAGCCTGATTCGTTCTCCTTGAGGTTGAGGCAATGTTTATCTTCTTCTAGTTGTTCAGTGTCATCGTATCGCAACTGTTCCTTCTTTATCCACCAATTGACTTGTTCTTGAATTTCCTCGGTGGTTAACACTCCACGACCCGGTTCCGTTGGATGCGATCTCAAATTGAAGAGAAATCGTGCTATCCAAGCAGATATCCTCATCGCCTTCCAATAGCTATGTTTCTCGAGTACCCCGTACATCACCTCAGCTTCTCCGTCCATTGCACAGCTTAACACTGCTCTTTGATCCAGCTTCAATTCAGTTGTAGATACATCTGTCGCCGGGGTAGCGATCTCTGGTGGCCAGTCACTCGGGTTGGACAGCCAAAGCGGACCATTGAGCCATTCGTTTGGAATTTTGTCACCTGCGCAACCTCTACTACCAATATCGGCTGGGTTTTCCTTCGTTCCAACGTGTCGCCACTTTATGTAACTCTTTTCCTTGATCTTCTTTACCCGATTCCGTACGAACTGCTTGTTACTCCCTTCGCCGTTGATCCAGTGTAAAGCTACCGTACTATCCAACCAACCGTAACAATCTTGCACCGGGAATCTCGTTAATACATTTCTCACGTTGTCTAGTAGATTTGCAGCCATTTGTCCCGAGACAAGTTCTAGCCTGGGTATAGTTAAGTTCTTTTTCGCTAACCGTGCCTTTGCCGTTATCAAATCTTGCGTGACTCCTTGTTCTTGGTTTACCACCGCGTAAACTGCCTCAGCTGTCCCTTGGCCACTGGTATCACCGAAGGCGTGCAGATCGATGGAACAAATCTCGTCTTGATGCATTGCCAGACTTCTGGGTACTTCAATTTGTACTGGAAGATTTGCATTCTATAATTGCCACCGCTTCATGATGGCTTCCGGCAGTTCTTCGTCCCAAAGACCTCGAGAGTCGCACACGTCTCTATATATGAATTTGCCGGATAGGGTTACTGGTGCCGCTAGTCCTAACGGATCGAATATGGAAGCTAGCTTACTGAGAACTGTTCTTTTAGTGTCCTCTTTTGGCTCCACATCAGGGAATACCACTGCTAATTGATCTGTGGACAGACAGTGGACTTGTTCCACTTCATTACCAACAACTTGGTCTCATCGTTCTTTACTCCCAGTTGCTGTTTGGCAAAGCTTGGTTTCTTCTCGAAATTATGTTCTCCAGGTGCTTCTAAACTTGGCTCGTTCGAGTGCCATTTGTGCAACTGGAAATGCGCTCTGTCAAAGATTTCAATTGCGGATTCCTTTAGCGATTCAACTTCAGTCACCGTACTACCACCACCTAGGATATCGTCAACGTATAAACTGTCCTTAATCTCGACGACTTCATCGGGGAATTCTTCTGCTACGCTCGTTAGGTGCTGATCTAGCGTTTCTCCGAGAAGAAATGGGGCTGATTCAACCTGAAACGTGCCCTGGTAAATCGATAGACTGTAACTTCATGTAGATTTTCTTCATCAATCCAGTGGAAACGCAGTACATCCCTATCTTCCTCTTTGATTCTCACTTGAAGGAAGGCTTGCTTCAAGTCTCCTGATAAAGCAACTGGTTTGAAGCGATTTCGCACGAGAATATCCCACAGTAGATTTTGCAGGACCGGGCCTGTCTCTAAACAATCGTTCAAGGAAGGTGAATCATCAGACTCTTGCGCGGACGCGTCATAAACTATGCGTACTTTCGTTGTCTCGTCTGACTCCTTCACCACAGGTTTGTGAGGAATATAGAATTTTCGTTGATTCGACTCTTGGGGTGCCTTCTCGATTATACCTTCTGGTCCTTAATTATTTCCTGGTACTGTTTCATAAGATCTGGCTTCTCCAGTCTCTGTACTAGTTTGGTCAGCCTCGCTCGACTTTCCCGCTCATTGCTTGGTAAATCCTCCATTCCAGGCTTCCAGAGAAGACCAGTTTCGTACCAGCCCTCTTTACTCTGTCTCAATTGCTCTTTAAAGTCCTCGTAAATTGATTGCTCTTCGTTTGGAGACTCTTGAAGACCAAGGACATCAAGATTACATAGCTTCTGGTAGTCGTGCATCGAGGTCTTCGTAAATAACATTTTAGTAAAATCATCATCTGTTCCTGGGGACATTATGGTCCACCCGAACTTCGTAAACTCCCCCACTGGCTCTCCGGTTTGACCTACACGTGGTTGGGAAGGAGTTTTTATCTTCGCATAATCACTTGCTCCTAAGATTAAATGAATCGGAAGTTCTTCCTTCTCGTCTGTATCGTCCATTGTTACTCCTTTGAGGTGTTCAAACAGTTTGATTGTTTCGTTGTACTTAGGATTTGGCAAACTTCACAGATTACTTCGTTCTACTCTGGTAACTTCCGTCTTAAGGACAAACGAATCATTCACATCAGTGACTTCTAACTTGTGTACATCAATTGTTTTGTTAGATGTTTGCATCATCATCTCGATTTTCCTAAACTCTCGTCGCTCTGGTTTGCTGTTAAGACGTTGCAACCGGGCAGCAGATGCATAGGAGCTCCCAGCCCCTGTGTCCAACAGCGCTCTGCATTTAATGCCCCCAGCTTTCACCACCACCACCGGATAAATCACTTTGCCTTCACCCTGTGCAACCAACATTTGTTGCACTGGTTGTGCCTCGCATATCGATGTGTGATGTTTCTTCTTGCATCGTAGACATACCGTTTGACTCCGACAATCTGCCGCCTTGTGTCGAGCGCCCGTACAGTTGAAACACCGCTGTTTTTCTCCCAGGATCTTCCTTCGATCTCCCACTGAAACCGCCTTTTTGCAGTCTGTTGGTCTGTGGCTAGGGTCATCACAATAAACACATGATCTCGACTTGTGCTCTTGCTGTCTTGTTTGGAAGTTCTTTGATCTATTTGTCCATCTCTGATTTGATTTATCCAGTTCCTGATCTCGTTTAAGTGGATTTCGCTCCGTCTATTTCCTTAAGGCTTCAATGAGTTCGGGAAACTTCCAGTTCTGCCAGTCATCATCCGTCCTAACCACGTCACTCCTGATACCTTCGAGCTTGTCTAAAGTCATTCTAACATACCCTGACACCTCAGTCAATTTGCCCCCAGAGTTTCCAATGATTGGACACTTGTTAACAATGTCTCATAGAATGCATGGATCTTGTGTGGTTGGCTACCCGGAATAGTTGGTAATCCAATATATTCTGAACGTACAAGTTGATAACTTCGCTATCTTTTCCATATTTGGACTTTAGTATGTTCTTTGCTCTTTCATAGCCCTCTGTGTTGAAGGGCAGACCATCTACACAAACACGTACTTTAGGATCAAGCAGTTCCTTCAAGTATGAAAACTTAGTTACTTGGGCAATGTTGGTTCCATCGATGCCAGTCTGGAACTGATTCCAGAACCGCAGCCAATCAGTTTGCACTCCTTTGAACTTCGTGATAACAAGCTTGGGAAGTTTTGTATACAGCTTGGACTCTTTCTCTTCATTCTTCGAACCTTCCAATGACTTCTTCTCAAAACTAAGCTTTTGCTGCAACTTCGCTTCCTCGAATTTCATTTCCTCCTTGAATATCTGGTGACGTATTTTAGAAGCTAATTCCTCTTCCTCAGGCCTTAAAATATCTTTTACAGGGCCGTCTGACAAAATGTCCGGTGACGTTGAGTTTGGGTCGGACATATGTCCGATGACCTTCAGTTCAGTTTTGACTCGGAAATAAGTCTGAGTGCCGGCACAAATGAATAAACGGTAAATGTTGTAAAGATATTAAATACTTCGTTTCTTTCATACTTATTTCCAAGCCAAAATTAACTTGCTTTCCAGAACAGCAGTATTAAACAAGACTTCGACAACTTAAGCCCGTTTTCCACTTCACGGTTTCGCTCGCCGCCCCGCGCTCGACTACGTTAAAACAACATTTCCAGTTCACCTTTTATACAATAGTACTCTGATTTTCCATATTTAACATACAAGCCTCTAGTCCTGGGCTAGGGTACATTTTGATTTACGTCGGACAAAGCTACAGTTCGGTCGGACACCAATTCACTCGGGTCGGACAAACAATAAACCTCAGTTTCACGTTGGTCGGACAGAATGTCCGGTGGTTTCCTCTCTACGTCGGACAATTTCACGAATGGGTCGGACAATGTCCGTGACCGACCGATATTTTAAGGCCTGTCTTCCTCCTGTTTAACTCGTTCACTTTCAGTTTTCTGAATATCCCTAATAACCGAGTTCAACTCTAACACACTAGCCTCGTATTTACTAATGTCACTCTCTATCTTGCTGCTCCATTCTTTGATGTCTTGAATATTCTCTCCTTTCTCTATCTTTGCTTCTTGTATCTTTGTTTCCAGGTCCTGGATCTCATCGATTTTATCTTGCAAGGTTTTTAACTTTCGTTCCATGGTGGGGACATGTCGTTTTTCTAGAGCTTCCCTTACACTCTCATTTGTAAATTCCAGCATTTGCAGTTTAGTATTTACCGATTTCAACAATGTTTCCATAGTTGCCATATTAGGACCCTTGATGGGTTAGATTATGTACAATTTGTTTGATCAATCCAGTTACACATGATTCAGCCACTCATTAGAACCCAAATAATAAATTGTTTAATCACTCCAGTTACGTATTGAGATCCACCACACTACAATATCATAGAACTACAACTCACCGTCCAAAATATTCCTTTTCGCTATTTAAATAATGTATTGATAGTCCACTTCGAAAATCCCAGAAGAAATACTCGATAAACAACAACAATCCTTCGTTTAATGAATAAAAACTCCAGTTAAAGTAGATATTCGCTGAGCAATTTCAATAAATATACTCACAACGTCAACACTAGTCGCACGTGTTACGCGTTAAAATCAGCACAAAATCCCGTTTAAATTCGATAATTCCTGTGTGTTATGTCCCATCGGCGGTTGCCACTTTGTCGGGAATTGCTTCCCCGACAATAAAGAAAACACTCACTCACTAACGTTTACAAAAGATTGTATTTTTCGCTTCACAAGTTACAGAAATATCTCGCCCTTTTGAAATCTAAATTCTCTCACTACCCCCCGCAAAGCGTCCTCGCGTGGAAACCACGCGCGCGAACCAAATAAGGTTAAACAAAATGAGCTATATGTTTTTCGTATTATAAAGTACTTAAAGGTCCCCGACAGCAGTATAACATGCAAACTAGGGTTTTTATCATTGTACATCATTATTTATTCATTAAATAACGTTAATTATTCAAATTCCAGTACTTAATCAGCTTCCGTGGAGTGTTTGACTAATTTGAATAGTAAATGGCGCAGCTTGAGCAGCTTGCAATGCGGCCAGCCAGAACAGTACACGTACGTGACACTACCCATTTTCACGTGATTGGAAATGGAGGCAACAGATTGTGTGTATCCAATGCACACTGCATAGAGTGTTATTTTGAAGGGTTATTAACTCTATACTTATCGTCATATACTTACCAGGTGATCTCGTGTTCGTATTTTAGCCAATCAGCGTTCAGAAAGGGTTGTCCGAATAGAAATCCATTTTGATGTATTCAGTCAATTATATCTTTCATTATTCTTTATGAAACTAGTTGAAATTTTGTAATTATGTTTGGTTATGAGAACTATAGCTCTGACAAAAATATAGAATCGAAATAAAGTATATTACAGGAGATATTCAGTTGTTTTAATCATAAAATGGATTTCTATTTGACAACTAGTGCCAGTACTTTTCCGCGTATCAAGATCACCTGGTATAATATGCTATTTGAACGCCAGGGTTGGGCAAAATCAACGAGTAAAAACGTTGCAAAAGCATACTTAGATACAGGTATACAAAATAACAGCAATCATTATACGATTTATTATGCAAATAACTAATGAATATACAGTGGCGGCGCCAGGCCTCCAAATTTGGGGGGGCATTTGAGAGGCAAACTCAAATTTTGGGGGGGCAAGATGGAATTTTTGAAAAGGTCGCCCCCCCCCCAGGAGATTCGCCCCCCCCCCTCAAAACGTGGCGATATCGCCTCCCAGAGGGGTGGGGCGAATACCCTAGGAATATCGCCCCTCTTTAAGACATTCGCCCCCCATATATGCGATGTGGTTTATTCAAATCATTTCGTGATACTTTTATCTTATTAATGCCTTACAGGTTTGAGAATTTAACTCTGCAAAACTAAAGCTTTTTTGTCTTTTTTTGGAACGTATTATTGGAGTATTGGCAAGTTTTACCATTCAGAGATTTACAAACTAATATTGAAACTGTAAAAAACAGTTTCATGTATACGCGCATTCACTAATGAGTAATGACAACTTATAAGCCATACATTTTCCGATAACTACAAAACGCTTGTGTAGCCTTTAGTCGCTCTTAGTGACTAATAATTTTTTTGAGGGGGGGCAAAATGGGGGGGCAAAAAATAAATTTGGGGGGGCATTTGCCCCCCCTTGCCCCCCCCCTGGCGCCGCCACTGTGAATATAGTAATGCATAATTGCACGCATAAAAACTGTTCTAGAACACCGCGTGCATTCCATTTCATATCGTTCCAGAGCAGTGTTCCAAATGTTCTAGAACAATAAATGGAGCAGCCTTCCGGACTTTCTAACACACAATATGCAGTAACAAATCGATATCCAATTTAAGAATTGTTTATTAAATTATTAGCTTGTGTAACCCCATCTAATTCGACTGGACTTTGCATTCATTTACAACTACCAGAGTAGCGGGCAAAAATATGACTGGAAATAATATTTAACAACTAGTCACCGAAGTCCAGGTGATTATCGTTGAATATTTACCGAACCGCGAATAGACGAGGTAAATATAACGATAATCACCAAGACTGAGGTGACTAATTGTTTTACTGAAATTTCAGAGATAACTATTGAATACCAAAGGAATTTGGTCACAGTCTTTATCTGTTGACTTTTTTATGATTATTATTTGTTTGCAAAACCTGCACGTGTAACACCATTTTGAAAACAAAATGTTGATGCGAGAGGAGACTGGGATGAATATTAGGGGCCATTCACAAAGGATGTCCGAGCTGAGGGAGGGGGGGGGAATGGGGGTTGGAAAATCAGGACAAACTCGGACATGGGGGGGGGGGGTAGCAATCCGGATGTCCGAAATTTAAAAAAAATCAAAAACAATTTTTTTTCCCTCTATTTTGAACTCTCCTTTCCATTGTGAAATTGGCGTTTTGAACACTTCATAATATTATCTAATTCTTTCCTTCAATGATGAATTCAACAGTGGCGTCAAATAAAGGCTTTCTGCATGTATAACTCTCGTTTTCTATACCATAAGTTTATCCCGTTGTTGCAGTAACACAGTTGTTTGTTTTAATTAATAATTTATATGTTTTTGTATTCACATTTATAGTTATAAAAAAGTTCTAAAAGTAAAAAAGTTTTTTACTCTTGACATATACAAGGTTGCGTGAGTTTTTGCGAGGCATGACGGATGTCCGGGGGGAGGGGGGATCACTCATTCGGACATGCCCGACAAGGGGGGGAGGGGAGGGGGTCTGAAAATCCATCATTTGGTCGGACATCCTTTGTGAATGGCCCCTAACGTAGTTTTGTCAGAAAAACCTCCCGACCCTCGGAAAATTCCTTCTGTAGTACAATTTCTAGTTGTATTCACCTCGCGGCTCGCGCGGAAGTAACTATCTCATGATAATCTGTGCAGCTTGGCTATTTACACCCTCAGAGTACAGAATGTTTCTACTAAGAATACAGAAAATTCACTAATCGCCTCTGAAATTTTACCAAAACGGGTATACAGTTATTTCAATTAAGGTTGTCCCCGAGCAAAGCGGAAAAGTCGAATACAAGCGCGAAAGGCTTGCTGGGAATCGCTAAAAAATTCATTAATTTTTTATATAGTTGCGACTTTTAGCATACGTTTCGTCATTTCGTGTTGTTTAATTTAATAAAAACCGAATAAAATTAACCATCTTCTAGACATTAGCCAAAGATGGTTGCCTCTTTCCTATTATTTTCTTAGCAAACTTCAAACAAACAAAAATGATTCCAGGATTCGGAGAGGGCAACCACCGCTCATCCCGTGGCCCCACTGGTCACGTGACCCCCTTTAAGTTCTGTTGACAAAGTAAAAACAATTATTGAATGTTTTTCTATTCTGTTGTTGAACAGAAGTTTGATCCTTGTCTTGGAAACCAATAAACCATGTCTTTGCCATGGTACAACAATGAAGAGACGAACTACGCTTGCCTCAGAAAAATTGTAACGGATGTCGTTAGTGAGGGCCTGAGGATAATCTTTAAGCAAGAATGGAATAACCGTTACCAGACAACGATTGGTGCATGGGACGACACTTTAATCAGTGGCACTTTACTGTACAATCGCGAATACAAAAGAAAAGGTGCGAAAAATTACTTGCCTAAATTTCAGAATGGGAACACAAAGGAATGGGACTGTACCACAATATGTGATGCAATCCTTTTCTCCAACTGTATCGGTAAAGCAGGTTTAAACCCTAGTATTTATTCAGAAGTCTATAACTTGAGAGACATTAGAAATAAAGTTATGCACCCTGAGGAAGGAAAGCTATCCGATCTCGTCTTTGAAGATTTATTTAAGAGGATTCGAAAATCCTTCCACAATCTAGCTCTCTCAGTGAAGGAGTTAGATGAAATCAAGACGGAGAGAAAGCGTTTTTGTTCATTCCAAGTTCTTCCACCTAAGCCAACACATGATGTCATCTCTCGTACGGCTACTCTCTTACCAATCATCAACGATTTACACAAGTTATTTAGCACCAACGACGGCAAGCTTACCTATCTCTACATATATGGTAATCCAGGAAGTGGTAAATCCCAGTTGGCTAGACAGATTGGGCAAAGTCACTATAACGACGTGATACAAAACCAGAGCGCGTTAACCTTCGTCATGACGATTAATGGTAAAAGCCTGGCCACCCTTCTAGAGTCGTATAAAGATTTTACACGCCGTTTAAATTGCGTGGAAAGTATTGTATCCAACATCATCAGTTCGAAAGAAACAACAAAAGAAGAAAAGATCCGACTGTTGAGAACGCAGATTTGCACAAGAATCAAGACTTACAAATCCTGGCTAATTATCGTCGATAACGTTGAGGACTTGAAACTTGTCACCTCACTGCTGCCTCAGCTCAAAGATGAAGAGTGGAACGGTGGTCAGGTATTAATAACGACGCAAGACGGTGCTTCTATTCCTCCGAATGCTTCCTGCACAAAGCACGTCTCTGTGAGTGAAGGTATGGGAACGGAAGAGTCTTGTAGTCTCCTAGCTTCACTTTCTGGAATTGGTGATCGTCCCATATTGGCTGAAGTAGCAAAACAGTTAGATTATCAACCTCTTGCATTGGCTGCCGCCGCAGTTTATGTCAAACAAGTTATTGAATTGAAAGTATCTCCTGGATTTTCTTGGCATAATTATTTGAAAAAGCTGGAAGCTGGGAAAAGAAAGCAAACAGAACAATCACTTCGGGATATCAACACAGCCTATTCACTCACTATGACAACGGCTGTACTACTTGCTGTAGAAAAATTTGCAGAAAGTGACAAAGTGTTGCGTAACATTTTCCACTTTTTATCGTTATCGTCCCATGAATCTTTGCCGTTGGAGGTCGCAATAAATTACGTTCTTCTTCTAAATCAAGATTTAGATGAAGAACAAGTTGGCATTAAAATCCGAAAATGTTCTTTGATTCTATCAGAAGACCAAGAACTCGTTTGTATTCGTTTACACCGCGTAGTTCACGATGCCTTTAAAGTTTATGCTAGCAACGATGAAAGTGAAGAAGTCACGAGTAGCTTCGAAGCCGCAGCCCGATCATTTTTTCTGTTCAAAGGAAGGAAGGACGAAAGAAGTGTAATTCCACATTTGAATGCTTTTAACACTGCTGTAACTAACAAGGACATGTGTTTTTCAGAAAAGCCGAACTCTGAAATTAGCAAAATACTATCTTATTTTGGGTGTGTTTCAGATCATTATGGAGAACTTTCACTCTCGAAACTGTTCCACGTTCAAGCTCTAGAGATTTGCAAGAAACTGCCCAACCCTGACCATATTTTGCTTGCAGAATTATACAGCCACCTGGGCTGTGTTCATTATCACTTAGGTGACCTGCAGCAAGCCAAGCAGTATGATGAACACACTTTAACAATTCGTATGGAGAAGTTGGGTTCACGCCATATTGATGTTGCAACTGCTTACAACAACCTGGGCACTGTGTACCGTGATCTAGGTGACCTACAGCAAGCCAAGCAGCATCATGAACTTGCTTTAGAAATTCGTATCGAGAAGTTGGGTCCAAACCATAATGATGTTGCAGCTTCTTACAACAACCTGGGCAAAGTGTACCATGACCTACGCGACCTACCGCAAGCCAAGCAGTTTTATGAACGGGCGTTAACAATCAGTATCAAGGAATTGGGTTCACGCGATATTCATGTTGCAACTGCTAACAAGAATCTGGGTAATGTGTACCGTGACCTGGGTAACACAGATGACCTACAGAAAGCCAAGCAGCATCATAAACACGCTTTGGAAATTCTAATCGAGAATTTGGGATTACGCCATATTCGTGTTGCAACTGCCTACAAAAATCTAGGTAATGTGCACCTTGACCTGGGTGACCTACATCAAGCCAAGAAGTATAGTGAACTCGCTTTAGATATTCTAATCGAGAAGTTGGGATTACGTCACATTCGTGTTGCAACTGCTTACAACGACCTTGGAGAAGTGCACAGAGCATTGGGTGACCTACAGCAAGCCAAGCTGCACCACCAGGAAGCTCTAGCCATTCGTATTGAACGGTTAGAATCAACGCATCCACTTACTGCAACTTCTTACGACAATTTGGGCAGAGTGTGCGAAGACTTGCGCGAGCTACAGCAAGCCAAGGAATGTCGTGACAGTGCCATGGTCATTCGTAAGAATAACATGGAAAATGCACAGTAACACGAAAGGCCATGTCAGACGAGGTACGTTTAAACTTAAAACAATAAGATTATTTTTATAAATTAATATTTCTGCCATGCCGATAGAGAGAGCCACAAGTCCGAATAGCACTATTGCGTGTGATTGCTGAGTATGAATAATACACATCCAAATTGTTTATTGTTGCCAAAAGTAAAGGCCTACCTTGTCGAGAGACGAGGGCTTAAAGGATTAGTTCAGACTTTAATAGTTTAATATGGTTATAGTATAACCGCTTTTGTTTTAATGTTTTGTGAAGGTGATCAAGAACAGTAAAATGCCATTAAGAACCCTTTGCGGTTTGGTATTTAGGTACCTTCGTCAAATATCTTTACCAAACAAAGTGTTTTTAATGTTATTTCACTTCTTGATCACATTTACAAAACAACAAAAGCGGCCACATTAAAGCCTTATCAATTATGACAATTATACCTTCAAACATCCGATGGCATGGCGGAAGTGAATGATGTATTGATGTCAAGAATGGCGGGATAAATAGGCCTTTCTTATTATGACGGAAAACGCACAAAAACACTTAATAATGTGATGTCCCAAGGGACAATGCAAATGATGTTTTTATGAAATTTATTGTCTTGCCAACGATTTGCATTGACCTGTGGGACAATGCTAAATTGGTTTTCCGCGTTTGACGTCATTATAAAGCCTAGTTTCCATTTGGTCGTTAGTTGTCGTTGGCACGACAAGTGGCTGATGTAATAGAGTGTCAACAAAACTTTATAAAACTCTGCAATCATTAAGACTGATTTGCATACAACACACAAAAAGACTATTGATATTAGACTATTTCACATCCACCGCTTGTCGTGCCAGCGACACTAGGCTTAAGAATGGTCTATGGCACGTACATGTGGCAGGAAGAATACAAATTTTGAGGATTTTAGATCTATATATAACGTGCAAAATTTCATGCCCCACATTCATGTATCAAAACAAGTTTATTTCACATCAGCTTCACAATCTCAAAGTTTCTTTTCCTATTTTCTAGGTAGTTGCATACATATACGCTGCATGACGCCAGCAGATTGTACTCTTCTTCGCGACAATCGTACTCTTCAGTCTTCACTACTTGACATGGAATTAAGCGTCAAATACTATATTGTATATTGAAACGAAATAATTTTACAATCGGTAGTTTAATTTAATTCAGTTAATTTAAATCAGTTAATTTCAGTTTAATTCGAATTATGCACTAATTAAGGCGATGTTACACGGCTTGACAGCATCCCGTTGCGGTTCCCAATCAGCGATAGTATATAATTAAACTTCAGCGCGCTATTGTACGTGACTAAAGCCAGTTTTCCACTAGCGATTTTTTTCGCGCGAAGCGAATTTATTCCTTTGTCTTTGGGCAATTTGTTCCAGATGGTTGCAGCTGAGAGCTCTAAATTAAAACAATAGCAAAATGTCGCTTCGCGCGAAAAAAATCGCTAGTGGAAAACCGGCTTTAAGGCCCACACAGACCGGACGCGATTCGGCAACGCGACGCGAATTTTCAGTTTTCAAAAACAAATAAAACCGTCAACAGATAAAAATTTTACAAGATATGCAGACCAAATAGCTAAAATTGCTTCAGTGGTTCCAACTATTTCAAAAACATTGAAAAATATTAAAATTAAATGCCATTGAAAACTGGAAATTCGGCGTCGCGTTGCCAAATCGGAAAGATCAGGCGCTTATAGCTATTGAATGACATGTTTTCCATGCCAAGTGGAGAAAAAGTAAGTAAGTACGAGTCCAATAAAAAATGTTAGTCAGAATCGCATATTTTCACTCTGGCTCTGTGCCTAATTAAGTACCAAAAGGGGTACCAAAAGGGGTTAATTTCAATGGTTTTAGACCCACTACTCTCAACGGTGAAAATATCAGATTCTGACTAACATTTTTTATCGGATTCGTATTTGCTCATATTTTCTAACTTCAGTTATAACTATTTATGTACGTGTGCCCCCTTTTCTCTAAAATATAAGCAAATTAATATTCTAGTAACTGAAATTTGCTTTGTAAACTCATATAGTTTATTGTGTCAGTGGAAAAACGAGTTTTGACAAATAGCAATATTAACAATAACCGCCGCGGTGATACCCTGGTTTCAGAGGTTCTTGTGCCGCCGTATAAATACGAGCGAGAATGGGACGGAAGATGTGAAGTAATAATTATCCCATGCAACCGTTTCGAAGGCGAAATTTTTACGGAGGGCGAAATCCCTAAAGGAAAGGCGAAGGAGAGGTATAGTCACCACACCTCCTCCGAGAGCTTATTAATAAGAGCACGGAAATTCTTCTTGACACAATACACGGTTTTAAGTCACATAGTTGACAGCCTTGACAAAGAAAGGTCGTGGATCCAATTGCTGTCGTTCAGTCGTTCCACATTCGACCAAAAGGTATGGTTGCATTTTCATGTATTAGTGTCTACAATATTAATGTATCGTGTTTGAGCCCCCAATTTGAGCTCCCAATTTGAGCTCAATAATGTATCGCGTTTGAGCTGAATTATGCGATCATTGGCGGGTTTACAGTCTTAAAAGCACATAGGATTGTACATCGCTTGACGATGTCATGAGACTGCATGCAGGCTATTGTTGGCGTTTCTCCGGCGCATATAGAGTTTACCTAGAGCATGCAGTAGCGGGCACTAGGAGTGAAGGTCCAGACACACCGGACGCGATTCGACAACGCGACGCGATTTTTTAGTTTTTGAAAGTTGATAAAACAGCCAACGGCAATGAGAGCAAATTTTAAAAGATATGTAGACCAAATAACTCAAAATAATAATAATTATAATAATAATAAACTTTATTTATATAGCGCACAAATCCAAAGCTGTTCAAGGCGCTTTACATGATTTAGAATAAAACTACTATATACAAACAAAGTAAGGTACCTAAAGTTATCTACATAAATAAAGATTTGCTACTAACAAATTTTGAGAAAAGATGAGTTTTAACTGACTTCTTAAAAGCGTAAACACTAGATGACTTGCGAATATCCAATGGTAAAATATTGGGTGCACAAACTGAAAAAGCTTTATCACCATATGTCTTCGTAATAGTTCTCGGTTGACTTAAGAGTTCATTCGATACAGATCGTTGTGATCTTGAGGATTCACGAAACTGTAGTAGATCAGTCAGATACCTTGGACTCATGTCATTAATTGTTTTATAAACTAACAATAAAATTTTAAAAACTATGCGGTAATGTACTGGCAACCAATGCAGATCCACTAAAATTGGAGTGATATGTTCATATTTACCAATCCGACAAACAATTCTAGCGGCTGTATTTTGAACATACTGTAACCTCTTCATTTGGTACTTCGGTAAGCCAAAGAGAAGAGAGTTGCAGTAGTCTAGCTTCGATGTAACAAAAGCGTGTACAACAATTGCAGCAGTCTCTCTCGTCAGATATTTGCGGATCCTCGATAAGTTCCTCAGATGGTAAAAGGAAGATTTACATTTATCAGCAACATAGCTATCAAACATCATGTGCTCATCGAAACCAACACCCAAACTTTTAACTAATGCAGCAGTAATAGGCACTTTCTCAAGTTCAATGTTAAAATCATCAACAGGTGGTTTATTACGGTACCGTGAATGTATCAACATAATTTCAGTTTTATCATGATTGAGTTTAAGCTCATTACTATTCATCCAATGACAAATTTCAGCTACACAGTCCTCAACGCGTTGTTTGGATGTAGCAACATCTGTGGTATTAAAGGAGATATAGATCTGTGTATCATCTGCAAACAAATGATACTTCAGGTTATACCTGTTGATAATTTCTGCCAGGGGTGAAGTGTAGATAAGATACAATAAAGGGCCCAAGACTGAACCCTGAGGAACTCCAATGTTTACGTCATGAGTTGCAGATCTCGTACCATTAATATTCACAAACTGGCTCCTATTAGATAGGTAAGATTCAAACCACTTTAGCACAATTCCACTAATGCCAAACCGTTTCTCCATCCGTGATAACAGCAAAGAGTGACTGACGGTATCAAACGCTGCTGATAGATCCAACAATAGAAGAAAAACATGCTCACCTCTATCCAAAGATAATAAAATGTCATTGGTAATCTTTACTAACGCCGTCTCTGTACTATGGAAAGCTTTATATGCAGACTGATATTGCTCATGAAGATCATTCTCTACAAGGTAATTATTCAACTGCCCCGAAACACTTTTCTCGACGAGTTTAGATAAAAATTTCAAGTTTGAAACTGGTCGAAAATTGGTAAAACTTTCAAAATCAATGTTGGACTTTTTTAACAGGGGTGATAGGATCAACATATTCAACAATCCAGATGAAGTAATTCTGATATTAAACGATTCACAATCAAAGTTCTTAAGTCGCCTACTCACAACAGTTTTCCGCTGATTGGATTGCTTCTCAAGATTGAGATTAAACCATATCGGCTTATGGTCAGAGACAGGCTGCTCCAGAACACATATATTGCTCACTTCCAAAGCCACACAATCGTCTCTTGTAATCACAAGATCCAAAATGTGACCTCCTCCGTGCGTAGGTGACACTACGTGTTGTTTCAAACCAAACGAGTCCAAGAGACCAATAAAACGAACAGCTTGAGTATTCTCAATATCATCTATGTGGAGATTAAAGTCTCCCATGATTAACAATTCTTCAGAGCATACAATAAGTTCTTCCAATAATGTTGAAAAATCATCCAGGAAAATTTCGGGTGATAGTCCAACAGCCGGCGGGCGATATATAACAATTACTCTAACATTTGCAACATTTATGAAACAAGCATCCAAATATTCAAATGACCGGAAAGAATGTTCACAAGATCTCAATCTCGCCCTGACACTTTGTCTATACAAGAGCCCTACACCACCACCAGTCCCATTGCTCCTTGGTACATGAATGAACTTGTAACCTGTTGGGCAAAGGTCACCAATAATTGAATCATCGCCTTCCTGATGTAAGTTTCAGTAATGC